GGCACTCACTCCCAGCACGCTCAGTGTAAACACTCACTCCCAGCACGCTCAGTGTAAACACTCACTCCCAGCACGCTCAGGCAGAGGCAGTCACTCCCAGCAGGCTCAGTGTAAACGCTCAGGCTGAGGCACTCACTCCCAGCAGGCTCAGTGTAAACACTCAGGCTGAGGCACTCACTCCCAGCACGCTCAGTGTAAACGCTCAGGCTGAGGCACTCACTCCCAGCAGGCTCAGTGTAAACACTCAGGCTGAGGCGCTCACTCCCAGCAGGCTCAGTGTAGACGCTCACTCCCAGCACGCTCAGTGTAAACACTCACTCCCAGCACGCTCAGTGTAAACACTCACTCCCAGCACGCTCAGTGTAAACACTCACTCCCAGCACGCTCAGGCAGAGGCAGTCACTCCCAGCACGCTCAGTGTAGACGCTCACTCCCAGCACGCTCAGGCTGAGGCACTCACTCCCAGCACGCTCAGGCTGAGGCACTCACTCCCAGCAGGCTCAGTGTAAACGCTCAGGCTGAGGCGCTCACTCCCAGCAGGCTCAGTGTAGACGCTCACTCCCAGCACGCTCAGTGTAAACGCTCACTCCCAGCACGCTCAGTGTAAACACTCACTCCCAGCACGCTCAGTGTAAACACTCACTCCCAGCACGCTCAGGCAGAGGCAGTCACTCCCAGCACGCTCAGGCAGAGGCAGTCACTCCCAGCACGCTCAGGCAGAGGCAGTCACTCCCAGCACGCTCAGGCAGAGGCAGTCACTCCCAGCACGCTCAGGCAGAGGCAGTCACTCCCAGCACGCTCAGTGTAGACGCTCACTCCCAGCACGCTCAGTGTAGACGCTCACTCCCAGCACGCTCAGTGTAGACGCTCACTCCCAGCACGCTCAGGCTGAGGCACTCACTCCCAGCAGGCTCAGTGTAAACGCTCAGGCTGAGGCACTCACTCCCAGCACGCTCAGTGTAAACGCTCAGGCTGAGGCGCTCACTCCCAGCAGGCTCAGTGTAGACGCTCACTCCCAGCACGCTCAGTGTAAACGCTCACTCCCAGCAGCTCAGTGTAAACACTCAGCACGCTCAGTGTAAACACTCACTCCCAGCACGCTCAGTGTAAACACTCACTCCCAGCACGCTCAGTGTAAACACTCACTCCCAGCACGCTCAGGCAGAGGCAGTCACTCCCAGCAGGCTCAGTGTAAACGCTCAGGCTGAGGCACTCACTCCCAGCACGCTCAGTGTAAACGCTCAGACTGAGGCGCTCACTCCCAGCAGGCTCAGTGTAAACACTCAGGCTGAGGCGCTCACTCCCAGCAGGCTCAGTGTAGACGCTCACTCCCAGCACGCTCAGTGTAAACACTCACTCCCAGCACGCTCAGTGTAGACGCTCACTCCCAGCACGCTCAGTGTAGACGCTCACTCCCAGCACTCTCAGTGTAGCTGGGGTCCCCAGACCCCCCTGTGTCCAGTTACCTTCCTCCTTGAAGTGTGTGATGTGAGTGGCGGCTGGGAAGCCCAGGCTGATCAGAGTACTGGGAGCAGCCTCAGCCTCTCCCACTCCTGCCGGCTCCGTGTTCATCCCAGCCAGGACTTTTCCTCCGCCTCTGTCGCAACGAACGGCCCCGCAAAGCGGCTGGCTGCAACACCAGGCAAAATGGCGGCTTTACGACCGTGTCGTCATAACAACAAGGTGGATGGATGGATGGCACGCATGCGTCGGTGACGTCAGCGCGCCCTGGAGCCGCCCGGCGGACATGTCTAGTGAGGGCAAAGACTTCCCTCAGAAAGACAACTGTTACCTCAAAAATAAATAAATAAATAAAAATGCTATATTTTAATATAATAAATCCTTTCTATAAAGTTTTAAAAGAGAGTAGATGTCTGACCCAAGGTGCATGTATATGGCTGAATTTATCTTCTCATATACTACAAGTACGGATGAGATTTGTTTTTTTAAATATACTTAAAGGATTATTCTATCGCCACGTCTGCTTATATAAGTGGTTATGGTGGTAATAATCGGGGTGTGCAGTGTTTTACACATCCAGAGCTATTGACATTTGTGTGCTGGGGGCTAGTTGCATCTCCTTCCCCTTATTTAGAGCTCCCGCATGTGCTTTGAGACAGTAAAATGGTCAAATTAAAGGCTTCACTAAGGGAAGCCTTTCATTGGACGTCTACGCGGCGCCTGTGACATCAGAAATGTGCCGGGGACCTTTGCTTAGGTGCGAATCATCAGGAATTCAAACTAAATTGCAAATTTTAAGCCGAATTAGCTGAAAAGGAAGCTATATTTTTAGTTCATCGTTTTTCACCCACAATCTGAATTTTACTAAATTCCTGAATTCAAATTTATTATTATTATTATGTTATTTTTATATAGCACAATCACATTCCGCAGCACTTTACAATGGGTTGACGAACAGACATGTATTTGTAACCAGACACGTTGGACACACAGGAACAGAGGGGTTGAGGGCCCTGCTCAATGAGCTTACATGCTAGAGGGAGTGGGGTAAAATGACGCAAAAAGGTAAGGATAGTATTAGACTAGTGACAGTTGCAGAAGAGGAATCAGTCGGGAGCTATTAACAGTTTCATTGATATGCTTTTATGAAGAAGTGGGTTTTTAACGATTTTTTTAAGGAGTGGAGACTGGGTGAGCATCTAACGGAGGAGGGAAGTGAGTTCCACAGGAACGATGCAGCCCTTGAGAAATCTTGAAGGCGAGCATCAGAGGTGGGAGTTTGGACAAAAGATAGACGTAAGTCTTCAGCAGATCGTAAGGGCCTAGACGGGACATACTTGTGTATAAGAGCACCATCAAGACTCTCCTATTTAAGACAGGACACGGAGGTGCCTAGGTGGAGAAGTGGGAAGGAAGATATGCTTTCCTGAAGATTTACATGTGCCATTCGCAATTCATCTTCTAAAAGATGAAGCCACCCAACCAGGAATCAAATTATCTTTGCTTACATAGGATCCTTCAAAAAACTTTTTCCATATTATTGATATGTATATGAAACCAACATATTCTGTAGCGCTGAACAATAGGTGGACCGACAAATATTTTTAACTATACAATATGGGCTTATAGGAAAAGTAGGTGATCAGCACCTGCTCAAATCAGTTTGAATAAGTCCAGTTTGATAACACAGACTACTAAAAGCACTCTGCAGTCAAAGATAAAAGTTCCCATCATCCATCACAGGCGATAGCAGCAGCAATGGGAAGGTGATCACAGTTTTCCCATTTCACACATTTTACCAGAATTCTTTGCTTGCACACATCAAACAGGGTTGAATCTCTCACAATTCCCACTTTGGCAAATAGTCCTGTAAAAAATATTTTTTCCCACTAACTGTGCAGAATTCAGAAGGAATAACACATTTTAAGCCAACATAGCCTAAACACTGGAAACAGTATTCCCCCCAAGTCAGTTTTTTCCAAAATTCCTGGTATATTGAGTTCCCCTTAATTGAGAGGGAGATTGTAATCCTTGGAAAGATTAGGAATGATCAGTGCCATTGTGCAGAATTGATGATAGATAGGTAGATGGTAGGTTTTTTGTTTTTTTCCCTATAAAATATAAAAATAATTTTCTAAAATAAAGAAAAATGTTTTCCAAAATGCTAAAAAAAAAATAAAAAAAATAATATATATATAAATATCTATATAAAATAATAATAATAATAATATATATTTAAGCCAGCTGATATAAGGGAGTGCCCCTGCCATGCCCTGCATTGCTAGAGTGTGAGCTGCCCTTTAAACATGAACCTTGAGCATGCACCTGTTCAGCTGTTCAGGGAACAGCTCATACCTTGCCAGCCAATCAGAGCGCAGTATGACTTGTGCGGGATACCCTGCCAGCCAATCAGAGCGCAGTATGTCGCTGCCAGTTAGGCGCAGGCTGGGTTGCGCCGCGCACATCAAACATGGCGGCCTCCAAGTGCACGCGTCTTGGCGGAGAGCTCAGTCGCCGTTTCGTGGCGTCGGTGGATACGGTGCTTTTCGACTGCGATGGCGTCCTGTGGCGGGGTGACGAGGCCGTCCCCGGGGCCCCGGAGCTGGTTAACGAGTTGAAGCTTCGAGGGAAGCGGGTGTTTTACCTGACCAATAACAGCACCAAGACCCGGGCCATGTACGCCGAGAAGCTGGGCCGGCTGGGGTTCGGGGCTGAGCCCAGCGAGGTGTTCGGTACCGCTTACTGCACGGCTGTGTATCTGAGGGACATGGCCCGGCTGGCAGGGAAGGTGTACCTGATAGGGGGCCAGGCTCTGAGCCAGGAGCTGGGGGCAGCTGGCATCCCTCACCTGGGGCAGGGGCCAGACCCACTCACAGGGGGCTTCAGTGACTGGGCCCGGGTGGACAGGGACCCCCAGGTCAAAGCTGTAGTGGTTGGCTTTGATGAACACTTCAACTACATGAAGCTCAACCGGGCTCTTCAGTATCTACAGGACCCCTCCTGCCTCTTCATTGCCACCAACACTGACACCAGGCTGCCCTTAGAGGGGGGCAGGGCTGTCCCAGGTACCTGAATGACAAAACTTTCCAGAAGACCATTATGGTGGGTGGGGGAGGTTAGACTGGAAAAGTACTGAGATTAGATTGGGGGGGGGGGATTGTATGCATTTAAATAATTATTAAAAGGCACACACACCCCAAGACCTGTGAGAATGGAGGAAGCAGAGGATTGGGAAAGCAACATTGCTGAAGATTTGGAAAGTCATTGCTGAATCTCTATGATGACATCTAGTAGGGGAAGTGTTGCTCTTCCTGTGGTCCCATACCTGCAACAATGAAATTGTACCCGTTATGACTTCTTTAGTTATTTTTATTTATATAGATGAATGCCTAGAATTTTTAAAAATTAATGTAAAACTTCAATGCAAAATAGCCAAACTCAAAACCTAACTGTTGGGATATTTTTTTTTTTTTTTACAATTTGGCTACAATAAACCGTTTTAGATAGGCTTGACTTATTACTTGGGGTCTCCTGTATGCCGCTCTGCAAGGCAGAGCATGAAGCTCTCATTCTGTGTATAGAGTAGACATTACTCCTTCTTTTGTCTTCGTATTAATAGGAAAAACAAGAATCTTTGGCATAATTATTAAATAAGTGTCTTGTTACTAAGCCTTTTTTATATTGTGTTCACAGGTACAGGTTGTCTAGTGAGGGCAGTGGAGACTGCAGCCCACAGAAAAGCCCAAGTCATTGGTAAGCCCAATTCCTTCATTTATGACTGTGTGGTTAAGGAATGCGGATTAGAGCCTTCTAGGACCGTGATGGTGGGAGATCGTCTAGACACCGACATCCTGATGGGTTCATCTTGTGGAATCCGCACCCTCCTGACCCTCACTGGGTTCTCTAGCCTGGAAGATGCAAAATCATACCAGAAAAGTGGGTCTGACTCCATGGTTCCTGATTATTATGTGGACTCTGTTGCTGATTTGCTTCCAGCTCTATCTGAGCAGGATCAATAAGCCTGTTTGGCACCGCAGGACTGTCGCTCACCACACTGATAATGCACCGTAATTAAATTATGCAAATAATTGCCCTGGAAGAACCCAATGTACCTACCTTCTGTTCTCAGTGTAGCTGGATACTAACTATATGAGCTATAGCCTGCCATCCATCAACATTTTCTAAAATGTCAAGAGATTAATTTTATCCTGTTGTCTGATTTTAGTATATAATTATTTTATGATGGAGTCCAATACCAAATTGTTTGTTAAATCCATGAATAGTCAGGCCATTTTCGCTTCAAATTAATTTTTAGTGGTTCGCACATGCCTAATCAGGTACTCAAAGTTTTTTAAGAATTATTCAGCCGGTCTTTAAACATAAGAGTTTGTTAGATGGCACATAGTCATGTTACAATTCCATGTACCGGTATCTGAACATGTTTTCACTGTTACTGAATGAAATCTTAGCAATAACTTTTTTTTTTATTTTTTATTTTTTACTGAAATAATTTGCAAACTGTTACATATGTAATAATCATGTGCAAGCGGTTTATAGAACCCAAAAAGCACAATGGTGGGTAGAGGGCAAGTCCCTTCTATTCCTTCACTATGTGCAGACGGTAAACTGATAAAACAGGTGTTCCAAGGACTCAGCAGCAGAGTATTACTAATAACACGGTTTACACTCTTAAAGGAACACTCCACACACCTAAAGCACTTTAACTTGCTGAAGTGCTTTATTTGTGAAGATTGTGTCCTTTCTCTTCCTCTTTTTCCCCCTCCATGTTACCAAAAGTGCAAATTTTAATAGAAATTTGCTGTTTTATAAACTATCCTTGTTGGACAACCAGTCCTGTTATTTCCTGGTTGTGGAGCTAAACTCATGTCAAAAATTGCCCAGGGCACCTGCTTTGCAATGACATCTCATTGAGCTGCACTTGGAAGTTTGGTTGGACAGCCACAGAAACACTGGGCGAGGTTAGAAGGGGAGGGCTGCAAAAACCGCAGGTAACAGAACTGCAACTTTTGCAAGCTTTTTTTTAATGTATTTTATTTTAATATACCCCCATTTAAAAAGGCATGTTTTCACTGGGGCTATATCCACTTATAGTAAAAACCAAAGAAAAAAGTTAACTGCGCCATTCCCAAATCCCTGTGCATATTTAAACAAATGGAGGGTATTTAGTTTCTCCAATGGCCATGAGAGAGTTTAGTGCACCTGCCACGTCAAGGCAAACCTCTGAGGTGGGTCCTACTCAGAGCCTTGAGCTTCTGGCAAAGACATCTCCTATGAGACAGAAAGGGGTATTCTTTCATATACATCCCTACATGCTTATTAACCCCTAATAAGTAACACATGGGGTGGGCAGCAGCATTGTGCCCCCCCCCCCAAAAAAAGCTCCCTATCTTCCCAGCAAAGGGAATAAATATGGCAAATTGACTTTCAATTTTGAGAAATACAATGGAAAATCATAACTTTTCATCACGGAGTGTATTTTTGTGTGTTTCAGCTTCCAGCTGGCTGACTGGATTTCATGTATATTTTTTGGGGGGCGGGTACATGCACACGCATTAGGAGAACTAGACACTAGGCGCCCAGACCACTTTAGCTTATTGAAGTGGTCTGAGTGCCAATTTTCATCACCATTAACCCTGCAAGTGTAATTACTGCAGTTTTTATAAACTGCAATAATTACCTGCTAGGGTTAACTCCTCCTCTATTGGTTGTCTATCAGACTGCCAATAGAGGGACTTCCGGGTTTTTAGGCGACTTTTGGTCGTCCTCACGCTATGCATGAGAACCTCCAGCGTCGCCAAAATCCCCATAGAAAAGCATTTAATTTAGGGATCGACCGATTGTCGGTCTGGCCGATATTATCGGCCGATATTTGGTATTTTCGGCAATATCGGTATCGGCCAATTCAGATACCGATATTGCCGATAACATATAACAGGAGCGCCGGGCCCATTACAAGCCCGGCGGTCCTGTGGGGGCCAGCAGCAAGCGCTGACTTACCTTGCATGCAGCTCCTACAGCTCTCTGTGTAAATCTCGCGAGACCCGCGGCCGCAGAGCGTTGCCACGGGTTACCATGGCAACGCTCCGCGCGGCACTAAGAGCCGCGAGATTTACACAGGGAGCTGTAGGAGCTGCTTGCAAGGTAAGTCAGCGCTTGCTGCTGCTGAGCCACCACTGTACTTAACAAGCCACTGGACCACCAGGGAATACTATATCCCCCTCCCTGGTAAGAAGCAGGGAGGGGGGACTAAACAAAAAATAAAAACATTTTTTAAATATTAAAAAAAATATTAAAATAAATTACACAAATTACATCACTACACAAACACACACACACACACACACACACACAAACACATACTGCATTACATACACACTACACAAACACACACTACACAAACACACACGGGGGGGACTAAACAAAAAAAAATTTAAATATTAAAAAAAATATTAAAATAAAAAATTACACAAATTACATCACTACACAAACACACACACACTACACAAACACATACTGCATTACATACACACACACTGCATTACATACACACACTACACAGACACACTACACACACACTGCATTACATACACACTACACAAACACAGTACACATACTGCATTACATACACGCACACACTACACAGGCACACACACTGCATTACATACACACTACACAAACACTGCACAAACACACTGCACACATACTGCATTACAGACACACTGCACACACTACACTGCACACACACTGCATTACATACACATACTGCATTACATACACACTACACAGACACACACACTGCATTACATACACACTACACAAACACACACTACACAAACACACACTGCATTACATACATACACACTACACAAACACACACACACTGCATTACATACACACACAAAAACACACTGCATTATACACACACACTACATAAACACTGCATTATATACACACACTCTGCATCCACTACACACACACACACACTACACAAACACACACAGTTCCCCTGTCTAAACACACTTCATCCACTACATGTGGCATGTATATTTTGTGCATTTACCTTTCGAATTAGTTTATTTATTCAAAATAGTAAATGTACAGAATATCGGCAAGATATCGGCTATCGGCCTGAAAGTTCGCAGATTATCGGTATCGGTATCGGCTCTAAAAAATCAATATCGGTCGATCCCTAATTTAATTAGGTCTCCGGCGGGGAAGGAGCATGGGTGGGGCCTGACCCAGTGCAGAGGGACAAGTGTCTGAACGGGGGTGGGAGGGAGGCACTCCAGGATTCTCTAGTGCTAGAAAAACTGTTTTGTTTTCCTGGCACTAGAGAATCCCTTTAAATGTTTCCTTCGTGTTCCCATGCCAGTCATTAACTGCATATGGCATGAAGTGCTCATTTAAATTTTTTTCATTTTTTTTTTTTTTTTAAACCATGCTTTCAGTAAAGGTTATCTTTCAATTTTAGCGACCCTTTAAACATTTTTTACTTTTATGAAACTATTATTTCTAATTAAAGGGCTGCTAACGCTGTGGTTTTTTTTTTTTGGTTTGAAAGGGGGCAGGGGGGTGTAGTGCAGTATGGGTTACTATGACCAAAACCAGTGTTTTCTTAAAACCCTGGTTGAAGTAACCCTTTAAATTATGTTAACAACCAGCCTGCTCAAAATGTGTACCACTCCAGAAATCATACCATTGATGTTATTAATCATAGGTTTTTTTTCACAAAAAAAGAATAGTTTTAATGCTATAAGTCCTCTATATCTCATTATTGGATTGTTCCCCTCCCCCCCTTTTTTATATTAATATTATTAGACTTCAGCTGTCAATTCTTAGTCTAAACCTACATACCACCTTTTAAATGTTATTTTTTTAAATTTCCTGTAATGTAACCTATTTATTACATTATACGATTTCCTGGAATGTAACCTATTTATTACATTGTACAAACCAGATGTTCCGCAGCTCTGTGTGCACTGAACTATATTATTTATTATATATGAGAATTATAATTTATACATTTCCATCATGTTCTGTATACTTATTCAATGATGGGTAACATCTCCTGTCTCATATAATCACTTACCAGAATCTAAAGATTTGTATTGATGTCTAATAACAATATCTCCAAATTTGCAGGGTTTTTTTGTTACTGCATTGTAATATGCACTTTTTTTTAATTTATTTTTTTATGCAAATTGACACAATCCACACAGAACCTAAGAGGGTTTCTGTTCCTTATTTTAAACCTGTCCCACCAATTTCTCTAATAAATAACGCTGGGAATGTTCATGTCGATGGCTTATTTACTACCTATGGTGGTATTGAACTCCAAGAAAATGAAACTGGGTGTAATTATCTCAGCTGCTAATATAAATTTATTGTAGAATACCAATAAACGTACCTCTGATGTACCCAACATCTCCCCATTTTCTCCTCTTTAAATAATGAAACAGAAAAAGCTCATGGATTTTCTTTTTGAAACCACTCTGACTGTGACTCATTAAACTGTTTTGCCCCCAAACTAGGCCTAAGATGCAGAATTTTCACTCCGCTTACAGTTACACTGAAGTCAGTGGATACATTTCATCTCATTGAAGTTGTTATGGTGCATGGAGTTATGGTTCAGTGTTAAATTATTTTTGACCGATTTGATGCAAAATGAGGGTCTGGCCCCTCGCTGCTGCTTGGAATTCCATTTTTACATTAATGCCCAGCTGTAACTCCGATTTAGTCATGCTTCCAGCATAGGATGAAGCACTGGGCATCAGGGGAACCTCATTTGGTGTTAATCCAATAGGCTCTGAGCAGTGGAATGATGCTAGTGTCCCTTTAATGAAATACAATTTAATTTAATAAAACTGTTGGTCAAATCCAAGTTTGTTTTACTTGAAGACACAATCGGAGATATTTATAAATGTTTAACTATATCTTTTATTTTCGTGTGTTTTGGTTTTTTTTAACCGAGAGCTTGAAGTTTACTGTACGTTGTTTACATTGTGCAGTGTTTTCCTGCACACTTTTACACAGGAAGTGCTTGTGAAAGCAAGTGCAACAGGAAACTGGGTCCCCCAGACAGCGATATAAATTGAAATAAAATACTTTCTTTTAAGGGAATGAAATTATTACATAAACGCATGTCGGTGTTAAAACATTGTATCAAAGGTTTTATCTATATTTTAGTTAATGTTTTCGTCTAATCTGATATGCCCAGATTGCAAGCTAACGTTCCCCTCTAGTAAACAGGGGTTCCATTTGGAATGCCAACTGTGATGATCGTTTATTACCAACCCTGCCTGCTTTTCGCTACTGAGGTACAGCCCTGCTTACTTTTTGTCCAGATGCTCACTGACTTTACTGAGTGGCTTACAGTGGAGACTCATTGACTTCATGGGGGATCCAGGCCAACATTAGAACTAGATTAGCCCAATAAATTTAAGGTGATGTCTAGTGGCTCCTAATTTGTATTTAAGTAGGCAGAGGGAAATATGCAATCTCTTTAGAAATATCAACCGGTGTAAGGAGAAAGACACATTATAATCCACGTGCCACCAATCACAATCCACGGTATTGTTTGGTCTTCTCTCCTATTTCTGTGTGACTATAACTAAACTGTGGACTGAAATAAATTAAGCCGTATAGGCCAAAATTTTACTTTTTTCCCGAAATGAGCTAAATTTCCTTAAGCGTCGCTTTCAATTCACCCCTCATTCCCTGTTTAGTAAATAAGCGCATATACCAAACTGTTTGGGGCATTAATAAAATACATGTTACCAATGGTAATTCTTTGTAAGAACTACCTCATGATTATAGTTACTGGCTTATGTACAAAATCTAATCTGAAAAAAATAAAAAGTTATGGTTTGTTCAAAATGTTGACATTTATTTGATTATTTTAATACTTTGAATTACATTTGTGTGTTTCCAAGGAAAGGGAAAGGGGGTTAAAGGACTTCTCTATTTTAATGTGGCTCTTATGTTTTGGAGTATTTCCATTTTGCTTAGACTGACGATGGTGGCTTTTTATCACTTGCTGTGCAGTGGCCACAGAGTGCAGGGAAAGGTGAGTTTTACTTATCTGAATCTGTTCCTCTAGGCTGCAGCCACAATCTTCTTCTGTGGGATTCTCTACAGCTTCTCGCCCTTTAAGGAGCTGTTGTCAGTGCTGTACTCTCGTGCATGTGCTTGAGTTTAGCACTGAGGTTCATGGACGATCCCGCGAGACTGCAGGAGCTTTCATACACAAACCCTTTTCTCCGTAGCAGTCACTATTGACGGCTGGGAGTTGACAACAGTAGCTCTGTCTTATTGTCAACCACAGGGAAAAGACACAAGACAGAGTAGTCCCTTATATTCTCTTTTGTCTGCGTTTTATAAACATTTAATACAGATCTGGTTAACTAGTTATGTGTAGAACAATGAAAGGTCAGTGCTACCATAACCACTACAGATCATTTAGTGGTAATTGTGCCTTCAATACGCTCAGCCTATCATTGCATGAAAAGTTGGATGGATTCACACTAGATGATACAGATGCATTTTCAGTGCGTCTGCTGAGGGCCAGGTGTTCTGGGGGTGCCCTGTTTTTGTCAAAATGGTTTGGGGGGTGGTTCCTATAGGTTTATGGCACCATAACTACTAGAATGAGCTATAATGGCAAAGGTCTTTAGTGTTTTGCTTTTTTTTTTATTAATATAAATCACCCACAGTTTGAGCAGCAAAAATGAACACAACACAGAACAGAATAAATAAAAAGCAAATCAACTTCATTTTCACCCAGCAGTCTTTCACTAACTAAAGCTTGAAAGATATCAAATCTCTTTTATTCTACTCTCTTACTATCGCCATATTATTTTTTACTGAAACGTTATAACTATAATGTTTAAATATTTACCTGTATTGTACCTGTTGATATAGTTATTAATAATGTAGCTGCTAGAATTAGTTTGTTTTTTTTCTTAAATATTCCATTGTATAGAACAAATGTTTGCTTTACCTATCCACTCTCTTTCTACTTTTTTGGTCCTTGTAACAGTAAGTAGCTAACGGTGCTCCTATTTCCACGCCTGGCTCTAGGGCCTTCAATCCACAAAACCGCCTAACAGAATAAAAAGCTGTGTGCTGTAGTGGTTATGGTGCCAGGAGCGCCCTGGAGCCAACCCATTGTTTAGAACAGTTTGACTTTTTACCTAGGGTTTGCCAGGCGCCGTTCCTCATCCCCACTATTTCCGAAAGAAGCTCTCTGTCTTTGCTAAGCCTGGAAAATAATTTAGCCCTGCACTCTTATCTTAGAGATAATGGAAGCTCCTAAGTAGGAACTTCTGGCTCTCGGTCAGTAGTAGTGATGGTGGGGAGTGGACTTGGTGGACACCAGGTAAGAAGTCAAACCGTTCTAAAATAGTTTAATATCTTACAATGGGTGGTACCTGGACACCCTGGCACCATAACCACTAAAGTGAGCTATACTGAAACGTTCCTATAACCCTTGCAGGAGTGGGTTAGTAATGTCTAACAGTTTAGCTTCCATAAACCAGAATGAGACACTCTTGCTGGGCAAGTTAGTTCCTGGAGTGTGCAGAAGCATCGACCCGCGCAGCCTGGTGTGGGCACCAGAAGGAGTCGTTCAGTGCTAAACTGTTCATAATTATAAATGGGTCCTCAAATTGGGGAGGTGGGGGGCTCTGTTGGTTCAGCAACAATAACCGTGATGAATGAAAAGCTGAACTTGATGGATTTGAGTATTTTTTTCTGGCTATTTTATTATGTAACGTCGGTGTCCTGATTGTCTTCATTTTGTTAAGTGACACGGGGTACGGAGTGACAGGTTTCGTGGAAGGGCTGTATTCTTTGTGATTTGTTGGAATTCCTGCACATGGTACCCTTTCCAGTTAGTCAGAGCCAGACCTTTTTCTCTTCTTCATACAAAGCCCAGGTCTGTCTTTCCATCTCACTAGCACCAGATCTAAGGAGAACTTTTTTTTTCTACTTTTTTTTTGTCCTCCCACAGACCTGCAATTGTTACATTCCTTGTTCTCAGGTTTCCTGGCTCAGGTGGAGACTGACTGGAAAGGTTGGGTACAGTGTTGCCCTCACATGGGGCGATGATGGATGCGTCCTTCATCCTGCGCTTTTCCTAGACCATGAAGAGTCTGCACATTAGAAGCATTTACTGTGACCGCGACTGATGCACAGTATGGAGGGGAGCAGAGACCTAATGGTAAGAAAGTCGCTCTGGCACTGGAGGGGGAACATGCAAACTTTTATCTAGAAACCTAGGTGAGATCCAATGCTCCGGCTGCTGGGAACAGTGATTCATATGATATTTAGCTGCAGGGATTCTCGCTCGGGTAAAATCTGTTGAACTGTTTTATGTTGGATTCTAAAACTAATCTGGTCCTTACTAACAATAAGATAATTGGAAATTCCGCAGGTTTAGGAGCCTGACCTGGACATCTACAAAGTGTCCAATTAACTTATTGTAAGTAGCAAAATGTGCTCACTCAACCCCTAACTGTCCCAAGCAAATTGGGGCTGGCTGAGTTGGTGAGAGTTGTATTTCAGACTCACATTTGTTACATTTTGAGTGCGGTACTCCTTGACTCAGCCTTGATTTACCAAAAACACCAAAAAGGATCTTAGATTCATTTTATTTACAGGTATTTAATTCTTTATTAAAATATAATTGCAAAAATACTTAGAATTGCAAAGCAGGCTGTCCACCACTTATTTAAAGTTTTTTAACCCCTTAAGGACACGTGACATGTCATGATTCCCTTTTATTCCAGAAGTTTGGTCCTTAAGGGGTTAAGTGAATATTACATTTCTCCCACCAAGTGTCATGATCTCTTAGCCCTCAACAAGGGTACAACAGGTGGCACAGATGTAAAAATTTTATTTGTATTTTTTGCATTGCGTGGCACATATCACCCTGGGGAGACGATTGGATATTTTAAATTAAATGTTCAAAACCACCCAACTGGTTAGGTTCTTATTTTTGGTGCAACAACTGTTTGCTTCCAACAGACTTAGATTAGCAAGTGCATGATTGCTTCCATTAGCCTTGGATTAGAAAGTGGTGAATAGCATGTGTGTTTTCATTAACTTTCAACTAAAAGGCAGTACATGGAGTGCATGGTTTGAATAGTATTGGAATACAATATTGTGCAGGTAGTGATTCCTTTCAGTAGCACTGGATTGGAAAATGGTGCATACAGTGCTTGCTTACTTGAAGCATTGTATTAGAAAGTGGCACAGTGTTTGCTTCATTAACCCAAGGTTAGAAAGTGGTCACATAAAGACTAAGAGTGTGTTGTTGGTGGAGATTTATCAAAGTGTCAACAACACTTTTTACAATATTTTTTGCCAAATTTCGGATACAATTTATTAAATCTGTTGCTTCTTTAGCACGTTGCACCCTAACCATAATTTTTGAAAATATGCCTTTTTCCATCTTTTTTTTTTTTCCCATCAGAAAACTGTTGTTTGATTTCTCCTTTCAGCGGTCTTCTGAAATGGAAATTTCTGCAGAAACTGCTGGAATTAACTATAAAAATAAAATAAAAAAATTTTGATTTGCTATTTGAGCACCCCTCCACAGCTCCGGGCGAACATGAAGGGGACAGCGTTTCTTCCAACCGGTTCCGACTGGGACACAAGTAGCCCCCTATCTGCCGGTGTGGCCAAAGGCACCCATCTGTCCTGCCTTATACTAGCTCTGGCCCTGGGAGGGTGTGGGGTCCTAGGAGAATGCCCTGCCCAAGGGTCCTTCATAATACAAGTTCTTTCCGTACATTTGGTACAGAGGTGTAGTTAGGATCTCCTCTGTCAATTCATATAAACAGTTTCTCATTGTAGATATACATCTGTTTATGTCACAGCCTTGTGCTGCCCATCAACATAGCAAGTTTTAAATTCTGATGTTGTTATGGTGATGCAGAACACACCAGCATAACACTGCTGTTAATAACTGCCCCATTTGTAATGAAGCCATTTGGGTAAGGTTAGGTGGAAAGTTAAGGAAAGGTTAGGGGATGTTTCATTGGTGGGCATCATTAGAGGACCGGGGTAGTTGGGTTTAAATTGCTCTTAGTGATGGGGGTTGCCAGCCAGATGCTGTGGATTGTAACTCATATGACTCTTAGCCAAGCACAGCTATACTGAGTACACTGCTGTACCCTCCATCATTACAGTCCCAGGTCCACCACACTACCCAGGGCTCTTACTAGGGCTATTATAAGCGGTGATAATATTAAACCTCTTTTTAAAAAAATAATTCTTATAGTTTCTCTAATTGATGGAGACATTTGAGGGCTGGTATTTGACAAATGCTAGCGGAAAACCTGCATGCATGACAGTGAATCAGAGAGACTCTGGCAGGGGATAAAATGCTATGTAGCTCAAAATGTGCGTGCTATTGTGTTCTACTATTCTAACTGCAATATTTATTTATTTTTAAATACTTGTTTCACGTTTAAAACATTTTCTAACAGTTTAACACTAAATAAGAGTCCCTGGCTACCCACAGCCGGCCCCTTCTGGAGGCGTGGCTAAGGCAGAGATTACACACTTCCTTGTAGTCATACCTTTCATACCATCTGTTGGAGCTCTGATAGGATAAAAGCAGTCAGCTGACACTCTCAGCCAATCACAGGTGCCCATTGATGCTCGGGCTAATACTTCTTCATTATACCAAGCAACACAGAGGGGATGGACTACTGGGGACTGTCGTTTAGCATTAAAACATAAAACCTTTAAAAACTGTTTAATGCTGAATGAAGCTATGGCACCATGACATTTCAGACACTATAACCAGTTTAATGAGATGAAACAGATAATAATAATAATAAAACGAAATCGGCATTAGCTGGTATGTGTAAAAAAAAAAGAATACAATATGTGTGTGTGTATGTGTGTGTATATATATATATATATTTTATATTATATATATATATGTGTGTATATATATATATATATATATATATATATATATATATACACACATATATATATAATATAAAAAATGCCAAAAGATAGCTGCTCACCGGTCTTTTAAAATTCAAATGCTTTATTCAAATCAGGATAAAATCAGCGACCAACGTTTCAGTCCCCGCTCGGGACTTTCCTCAGGGTTTCAGACTGAAACGTTGGTCACTGATTTTATCTTGATTTGAATAAAGCATTTGAAATTTAAAAGACCGGTGAGCAGCTATCTTTTGGCATTTTGTATCTTTGGAGTCCAGGCTTTGGCACCCAGCTAATGTGGATTTACTAAGCGTGAGTGCAGGGGATTGTTTCTGTGTGTGTATATATATATATATATATATATATATATATATATATATATATATATATATATATATATATATATATATATATATATATATATATATAGTATGTAACACATGTTCAGGGGCGGACTGGAGATACGAAGCAGCCCTGGAAAAAAATCTATGCCAGCCCCACACGTCATTGTGCTATGTAGGGTGTATATGTGTATATATATATATATATATATATATATATTAGGCAATTGAAATAGTTGGTTGCACTCTCGGATTTACTTAAAATTTAACTTTTATTGAAATATTTAAGAGAAGATCAACGTTTCAGTCCCTCTTGTTGACTTGCATCAGGATCATGACGAAAGTCCACAAGAGGGACTGAAACATTGATCTTCTCTTAAATATTTCAATATAAGTTAAGTTTTAAGGAAATCTGAGAGTGCAGCCAACTATTTCAATTGCCTGGATACTGGAGCCCTGGTGATGCAACAGTGTGTGTGTATATATATATATATATATTTTTTTTTTATTATTATTGATACATTTCTTCTTCTAATTCAAAATATTAGTTCTTTTAGGGTAATTAAATTATACAGTAAAGCATACTCACACTCACAGACAGACACAGACAATCTTACTGATGCACACAAATAGACTCATTGACAGACAATCTCAATGACACACACAGACAAGGTTATTCGCACACACACAAATTTAGTACAGACAAACTCTGATACACGCACAAGCTTACTACAGACAAGCTCACTATCACACACACGCTCACTACAGACAAGCTCCCTGATGCGCACACACTCTCCCTACAGACAAGCCCATTGACACACACATGCTCCCTACAGAAGAGCTCACTAACACACAGATTCACTACAGACAAGCTCACTGACACACACATGCTCACTACAGACAAGCTCACTGACACACATATGGTCACTACAGACATGCTCACGATCACACTCATGCTTACTACAGACAAGCTCACTGTACACACATGCTCACTACAGACAGGCTCCGACACACCCATGCTCCTTACAGACAAGCTCACTAACACACACACACACACACATATGATCCCTACAGACAAGCTCACTGATACACATACAAGCTCACTAGCAGACACACACACAGAGGCTCCCTCTCTATCAGATGTGCGCACACACAGAGGCAGACAGTCACTGACACCGAGGCAAACATCCACACATACAGAGACAGGCAGACAGTCACACACTCACAGACAGTCACACACACACACAGACAGTCACACACTCACAGGCAGTCACACAATCACAGGCAGTCACACACAGACACACTGACCTGCTTCTTACCTCCTGCTTGGAGCATGTTACGAAAGTAGTGAATGAACAAATATGTGTTTTCTCAATACAGAAACTGTTACTATTTATGGAGCAAGAAGAATACAAAGGTTTAAGGGGGCCCTCTAATTACCCCAGTAGCTACAGCATATTGTGGTGGTTATGGTGCAAAGAGTTCTTGGTTGCATACATCTGGTTAATGGCGAATAGTTTGAGTGGTTTGACAATGATCAAGACTCTTCCAGTAGCAAATTGTTGGCAGTAGCTGAGTATCTCGACTTTAGTGCCAGGTGAGTCCCGTTTCTTTTGAAACCACTGGAAAAACAATTTTAAAAAAAATCTGGATGGACTTTTTGAGGCCCACCCATTTATCCATCCATCCGCTCATGTGTCCATCCATCTATCCATCGCCATCTGATTTTGGTGTATAAACAAATGCTTGTTAGGAGAATGCTTGTATTTGGATACATTATGTCTTTTACAGCTGCCTTTGCTCTACCGTCTATCTTTTTATTTGTTGATGAATCTATCTGCGTGTCTGTCTATGTCAGTTATAGAAGTAAATTGTATTTTTTTTAATATATGTTCATATATGCCTAATACTAGTTCTAAGCTTTCTTCAGCCCCCCACAGAAAGAAGACCCACTGAGAGATCTAAAGCGCCCTCGCGAATCTTCTGGGGTTTCCTGGCCGCAGCGTTGCTCTTCTCCATTGTGGGAATCTGTGTTGTTGGTATCCTGGGCTGGAAGGACAATAAAACAAAGGTGCTTAGTCTAACTCTGAAATCAGATAACACCAGGTTGAACAAGTCTGTCTCATGTACGTGGTAAAGGGCACGGCAAAGTAAAGATTTAATCCATGCACTGCCAAAAAGGCTTGGTCACTTCAAGTGCCATGGTGCGGCTTAACCCCCGTGTTAAAACATTGAGCAGACAGCTGGCATTCAAAAGGTTGAGCTAAGGTGGTAAAACTGAACACCAAAGGGGTAGAAACAATAAATATTATAGTTATTTGTGGCAATAATTTATTGTTGAGTTTTGTGCTCTGACCAGATAATAAATCTACTTCATATCATCACCTTCTTTCCAAAAAGTATATACTTTACTTTTACATTAAAAATTCACCCCATACGCCCTATGTAATTTCCCCTTTACTCTATCGCAATATTTATTTTTTACCCTTCGGAGAAAGAAGAATATTTCTCCTAGGATTTCATTCTGTCCCTCCGCATAGTTGCAGAGGCAGATATAGATTAAAGTGCCTTTTGGGAAGAGAGATAGACTGATTCTATAAATTGTGCTAATTAGATGAACATTAATTTCTGCATATGTCTCTTGTTGATATTATACATTGAAGACTATGATCTGGAGGAATATAGAGACGACCTGATATGAGTATGGAACTATCATTTAAATTTGGTGGTACCGTATATTTTTGTCAATTTTTTTTTTTATCGAGTGGACATAAATAGAACCCAGATAATATATCATGGTGTAGACATCAAACAGAGAAACACTGAGCATAGCAGTCTATCCTACAAAGATAACAGACACTCTTTTTTTTGACAGACACACGGTTTAAGTAAAATAACAAACAAAATGATACACGCTTTGTACGTCTTTGTAGAATCCCCTGGGAGACCCTTACTAAGCAGACACAACAGAAAGTGTTGTATCAAAAAAGAGAGAGTACCTAACTAGTGAGGGCACACCCCAGTGAAGAATAAAAGCACATATAAGCTTAAAATCATGGCGATCTGGGGTATCCCGAGGACATCATTTAAACTGTTACAGACTGAGAGCCTACGGTGGTCACAGGGCTCAATGAAAACACTCAGTAACCTCAGAAGGTGTGTATGTGTGGGAGGAGAAGGGGTGCTGGGTAGGAGACAATATAATATACTCCACAGAAAAATATAGATAGACTGAGGTACATGCCTTGTACCCTAGATAGAAGAAACCACAATTAGTACAAATGTAAAAGCAACTTACCCAATCCACATGTGCAGAAAAACATAAAAGCAAAAGCCCGACAAGCCCCGTCTGGGCATGAATATCGGGGATATGTGGAAGCAGACCCATGAGACAGCCGGTGCAACAATGTCGTCCCTGCACGGAGGATGTTCCGATTTTTCGGACGGAACGTCCGATGAAGGAGAAGGGAGCTTCATGCCGATCAGAGCTCCACCACCGCCAGACAGGCCTCGAGTGCCTGCATCAGCTCCCACACCGGTGACCATGGAGGCCATCAGGGAGCTCATTGCCGCCCATCACAGCAAAATCTCAGCAGAAGTGGCCACGATAAGGGAGGATCTGAAAGGCGTCTCAGCACGGCTCTAGGGGCCATACACGCCAGATAGAGGAGCTGAAAGCAGCAGTCCACGACCTCAAACAACTAGCATCACTCCATAACCAACAACTGGCCACACAAGAGGATAAGCGACGTCAAAACAATCTAAAGCTAAGAGGGGTCGCTGACACTGTGCCCGAGGCCGAGCTCCCACATTATGCCAGGGGGTTGCTGACCGCGTTCCTAACCCCGAAAGCGGCCAAATCCATAATATTGGAAAACATCTTCCGTATACCACAGCCAGCTACAGCACCACCAGCTGCCACAGGGGACATAATCCTCCGATTTCAAAGCACGAGGGACAAGAGGACCGTTCTAGAAGCCACCAAGGGCCTAACAACTTATACTTTTGAGGACATGACTCTGTCGTTTTATGCAGATCTCTCAAGTGGAACGCTGAACTGGAGAAGATCCCTCAAACAGCTTACATCCTTCTTGAGGCAGAAACAACTCAGGTACCGCTGGGGCCCAGGCCGCGCCCTACACATAGAAGGCGCAATCGGCAAACTGGTGGTGCGAGACCTACAAGAGGTCACAAGGACACTGGAAGACCTGCAACTACCACTGATGGCACTGGACATTGCGAATCCACCAGCTGAAACTACAAGCAGCCTAGGGAGGAACGCGGTTGGCGCACCAATCTTTGTGTCACGACAACCCCCCGCAGGGCCACATGCGGCTGCCACAACCTGAAATAGGACAAAAACTACCGGGATGCTCTCCCACCTTTTTCTTTTACCGGGCAACAGTCTGGCCCGCTGCTCAACAGATGAGAACATCGAGAGTAATCGAGACACTCTGTCCACACTGTCTCTCTCGCACTTTTATTACTCTTTGTTCGTTATCTGTTTTTTTTTTTTTCTGTTTATTGATGCTGACTCGTTTTAAATGTTTAACACAACTGCATAGGCACCCACAATTACAACACGTACCCAAGCAACAAGATCAGGCAGATGCCGATTAACAAATCAGCTTAAATGCCTGACCCGCCACCTTAAGCGAGGTATAACCTCTCAGACAACATAACATAACCTGTAACAACCCTGTTTTCCCATAAAAAACTTCCGAACGTTGTCATACAGTGGAATCCACAATAACGTCCCAGCCTGCACTTAATAAAACCCCAGCCTGCACTTAATAACGCCCCAGCCTGCACTTATAAGGCTCTTAGCCTATACATACACAAACGGTGCCCTTCTGATACGGCTGGCAAGCACTTTGAGAGAGGTCCTACTTACTCCTACTCATTTAGAAATGTTAATTTCCAACTAGTCTAATATAAGCATAAATAAACCTTTTTACATCGACCATACGCTCACAACCTGTAATGTTGCAATATAAAAATGTGCTGCACCTTCCACATGCTGACCAATTGTTAATATCTGTTTGGTATCATGCTTGTCAAAGCTGTTGGGACATGACGAGCCCACTTCATATATTTTCATGCACACCATAACATGATATTGCGCATAGTTATTACATACTCCTGCTTATTTAGCAATGCCTGTCTTGGCATCACTTTGATATGCCTGTTTTTTCTTTTGTTAAATTTCGTTTGTTAAATCTTTTTGGTTAAATCGTGAATTTCTCACTCAAACAAAGTGCAACGCATAACGAACATGTCACCAGAATTGTCTTCATTTGCCTACTACAGTAATATTATGTGACAACCTTGACAAATGTACCTACCAATGCACTTTCAAAAATAAAGAATTGGAAAAAAAAAAAAAAAATGACAGTACTAAAGCAAACTATAAAACTAATTTGGTCCTATCTTGAATAAAACTTTATTTACTAAAGTGCCATTTGTTGGAAATTCAAGGTGAATTGAAGGTGAATTTCAAATTTAAGGCCCAAGGAGCCAAACTGGAAGCATAGCAATTTTTCAGTTCAGCTAATTTCAATTTAATTTTAAAAATCACTTTGAAATCCCATCAGTCCTCACTTTAGTGACTAACTCTGTAATGGTATAAATGTAGGGGTGGTGGGGAACAGTGGCCTAGGCCAGTGACCCTCATCTATTGCTGGAGCAGCTGTTGAGAAATCAATCCTATCATTCTCAGCCAGTCATTAGCTGCCTAGGCTTGATGCTGGCTGAGGGTGCTGTATCTCCCATCAAGTTTTGGGAATTGAAGGTCATGACAGCTGAAGTCAGAATTAGATGAATTGATTGTACCAACCAGCATTCTCACATTCCAAGCGTTGGTTCTAAAAAAGAAGGACAATGGCCACTTGATAAGTACGAGAATGTCCTTCCTTTCACCTACTGGCGTGTGGAATTAATTACTTGGCACTAAATAGGAATTCTATCCACAGAGGTCATGTCACTAGACAACTTTAACCTGTAACTCTTCTCGTACCTGAACATCTTTAAACAACTGATCCTGACATCCATCACTGTCTAACCCATTTAAACGGGCAGTTTGACATGATGTGCTTCGTTAGTGAGATGGTATGATTGTTCTACATTCACTAGAGCGCAGTGTCGATACTGTGAAGGCTATAACGGAGATTTATTACTGAGTGGGTTATAGAGGTATTCTCTGTAATGTAACCACATGTCCTCAGAGAGTGGGGCAGAGTGGACCTCCTTATTACCTGTGGATACTTTATGGAAATGGATATTCTGACAATTGAAAGTCCCATCACCTTTATACAGGTTTTGCGTTGATGTTAAACACAGCATCTCAGCTGAAGGTGTACCCCTAACCAATATGGATAGTCCCCTAACCCTAAACATTGTGTTTATGGAATACCCAAACTCTATGCAACATTTTGTACACAGAATAAAATTAATGCTCCCTGCTCATGATGTAGCCAGAGTTGCATATATTACCTATCTAAAAGTAACCCTCAACTAACAATTGTGTACCCCATAATACTATGTATTCCTAAATGAAACCATTCCAAAAGTACACCCTGGCATTATGTACCCTGTAACTCATTTAATATTGCTACTATGGATACAGACCTATTACAAATCCGCCTTTTTAATTTTTACATGTGCCATTTCACTAGTCCAAGTAAAATGAATCCCCACGTAATGATCCAATTACAATACCCATGTGGGTCATCCTCTGTTACGGTTGTGTTCTCATGTATAATTGTATATATATATTTTTTTTATTCTTTTACAACCACTACAGCTCCTCACGTGGCAACACAGGTACCAAGAACACTGCTATAAGGTGACTCACACACTTCTTGTAAGTGCTCAATAAATAGGATGAACGATTTCACATTACAGCAATCTCAACACTGGATGTCATGTGATATTTGCTAAAAGGACTGCTCCCTGCAGTTGGTGTACAGTACTTTTTAATTACGTTTTATTTATTCATCAAACTACTGCACACAGTTAGTCTGTCAGCATACACAGAGAATCATTGGCTCCCTACGCAATCAAACTCCTTTCTTCACTGCCGACAGGCATAATTAAAGAAAAACTATCACATTAAAAATAAACATTTTTTTTTTATTGGTTTTTAATTCACAGTTAAGGCATATCAATACATACACGCTTGAATGGTACATTCGTACGAGAATGAGTAAACAGATAAGGGAACCAGAGCAAATACCAGCACAGCAAGCTATGAATTGAAATTTTAACTATAATATATCCTAACAAGTTACATCTGAAGGAACTCTGCTATAGCTTAACTCTATATAGATCTCATGCCGCAAGGTATTACTAATTTAAGATCTTGGAATAATACTGAATGTGTGGACACATCATAAAACTAAATCAAACGAGGTGAGGCTGCAATAAGTTAGGATAAGCTGCTTAACAAGATGAGTTAGATAGTGATATCTGCATATAAGTCTGGTGTGGACTGCCTAGGGGTAAACGGGATCGCAGTCGCTGGATTCCATCGGTGAGGTGCATGGTCTGCCGCACAGGGTCCCGTGAGAGTCAGAGAGTCCAGGGGGAGACTCCGAGTGCCCAATAATGCCTCTTTAAGATAGTGTATCATGTGCTTGTCTTCGCCCTTGAGGACCATGAGTGTGTGCGACAATCGCCATCTGTACTGTATGTTGTGCTTTCTGAGTAGGGATGAGAATGTCAGAGGTGATCTTCTCCATGCCAGAGTTCCTTCCAAGAGGTCTGCATAAAAGGTGAGTGACAGTGCTTCAAAGTCATAGGGCGTGCGTTCCCTAATGGCAATGAGAACCCCGGCCTTAACCCCGACTGCTGGAAAAGTTCCACCAGATCTCTAGGTACTGCAGCCAGAACCTTAGACAGAAGAATCCGTCCTGCCCCACTGCCTTGCCTTGTCTTGGAGACAATAGTGCAACTATGAGGCATATCAATATAAGATTGGTTAATTCCACTGCCGGAGTATCCTCCCTAATGCCCCGAATCGTAACATTTTTTCTGTGCCTCATATCTTATGTTGCTGCAAAGCGGTGGTCATATATTTTGTTTTGTTCCATTCTCCAAGACTCCCAGCCTGCCTGTGCGGGTTGTCGCTACATTAGTCAGGATGTTTGTCTGGAGGTCCACCAGCACTGAAGTTGTCTCCAGAGCAGCCTCTGGACTTGAAGGTGCCCACACCAGGGGGAGCGTAACTGGCATGTCATCCACCTCCTCCTCAGTGGACAAGTCGTGGAAAATTTTGGAATAGGCCTCTGGGTAGGTGGCCATTTTGGGCCCATCCGCACCATGTGCTTGCTCGATGTTAAAACCAGCGGATTTCCAGTTTCAGTTTTTTAGTCTTTGGACTCGTGCTTTAAGTAAGCCACTCAGGTCACCCTCGTCAGGGTGAAAATAGTGCCAAATGCTCAGAAAAAAAAAAAAAAAGCCACACTTACATGTAATTCAGTGCTGGGACAGTCTCGTCTCGCAGCCCAATCCAATCACTGTGAATCACATGGCAGATTAGACTAAATACAGATAAATGTAAAGTTATGCATTTTGGAATAAGGAACCTACTAGCAATATATTCATTAAATTGGGTTGAGTTAAAGGCCAACTAGGAAGGTGCTGTTATTTATAAAAAACATAATTTCTTTGTCAATCTTTGTTTTTATTGAGGCATTAGATAAGACAGTACAGAATGTAAAACAGGGAGTTAAAGCATATAAACACATGGTATATAAGGTACTTAAACTCCAGCATGGAACAGCCTCTTTCTATATATTACATAAGATAACAATGCAGGTTAAACTACTAGTGTTAGCAGTGATGTGTATCTAGTTGTAAGGAATCTCAAGGCAATTCAGGCATCACGTTACACTGTGCATTAATTGTATGTTGTAATACAGGCTTCATAAATACAATTCTAGTAGAGTGAACATATATAGGGTTACGATAGCTGGAGCCTAGAACTGTAGGTGGCAACGAGGGTATGAACCACTGAGTGATTAGAGCTAACTATGACAGGTATTTAATTGGGTCTCATGTTAATTCTACTAGCGTATGCATGAAAGAGTCATCTGGGTCTAATCTCTCTTACAAATGAACACTAGACTTAGAGCGTGGCAAGGAATATGTTATGCAAGTGAACTGCAGAAACATGGTGACACGTCATGTCCGAAAAATGTCGCCAACCTCAGTTTGCATACTGTTAAAGTTAGCGTACATTAGGCAGAGAGCCAGGATGAATACGACCATAGCATACATAGGAGCAAGACAAGAATAAGTACTAGAGAGAACAGTAATACAGGTAGAACAAACATTTCAAATTAATCTAGTTCCCACCAGTATTGCATAAATCAGATAGGTAAACTAAACAGTAAATTAGAGCTTAGTAGAAATTAAATGATGTCGGACAGATGTGTGGTATTGGCCATGAACCAAGGCTGGAAAGTTCTGCCTCAGCCAATGCCAAGACTCAGGAAGATGTGGAGGTTTCCCAGTGTTGATGCAAGGCGGGGGGTGAGCCGTGGTGACCCTCCAGCCTCAGGCCGTGTTGAGGGCCTGCATCATTGTACCATGGACTCCGGGTCTCGCAGCGGAGTCCAAGTCCCTCTCCAATGGGATGCGTCAGAAGCTCTGGTTGTTAAGTCGCCGCCTGCAGCGCAGGGTTTTGCGCCTCTTTGGTGGATGCAATGGGAGGGTATCTCCGGTGGCTCTCAGCCTAGGCGGGCGAAGTTTAGGAGATTCGATATCCTGGGAGGAAATTGCGCCAGAAGTCTTTGCAAAGACTTCTGATTGAGCTGCATTGGGAAGTCTGTTATTGGACAGCCACAGAAAGTTTGGGCGGGGTTAGAAGGGGAGGGCTTGTAAAGGCTACAGGCAAGAGATCTGCAGTTATTGCAAACCAAGATTTCATATACATCAAAGAAAATATTCAAAATATATTGGCTATGCACGTATATCTACCAAATTGTTTTTATGGAGTTTTCCTTTAATGAATCTTTATATTCAGCCCCTATTACAGGTTGTTCGCCTGACGTATAAAAACCCGCAGGGATCCCCAGTGAACCAATCTGCTGTCACCGACAAGAGAAGGAGTACAGTCACCTACAGAGTTACCTCCAGGAACCAGACGTCAGTCGTACTGTTTGACAGTAAACATGTGAGTTCACATTGGTTACATACTAGAGAATAATACAGGAAAACCACTCACTATAGGCATGTGTAAGGCAGGCACTGTGAACAGTCAAGGGGAGCAGACACTGTGAACAGGGGGAGGAAGAGCAGTGATCGGTCCAGGGGGAGCAAGCACTACAATCAGCCAGACTCAGGTGGGGAACAGACACTATGATCAGTGAACAGGGGGAGGAAGAGCAGTGATCGGTCCAGGGGGAGCAAGCACTACAATCAGCCAGACTCAGGTGGGGAACAGACACTATGATCAGTCAGGGGGGCTAGCAATCACTATAAGGAAGGAGGAACAGACACCATGATCGAACAGGGGAGCAGGCACCTTGATTTGCAAGGGGTAGCAAGCATGATGAGCTACAAATTGATCAAACACAATGGCCAGCTATGGGAACAGAGGAGGCAGAGGCTGCAGGTACAATGATCACAAAAGAAGGAACATGCTTTCCCTTGTCTCCTCCACAGGGGCTGGTTTGCTACAAGGCTGCGGGAGAGCGGTCCTGCTTCCTGCGAAAGATGGAATCGCGAGATTTTGAAAACATTCAGTCCATTTTAAATGTTTCAGAACCCAAGGTGGGTACCATATACAGAGGGGCAAAGTTCGTGTTTGCTGATCAGACTGTTGGACATATAAAATATGCAGAGTGCAGATCTACATAGCTTCTACCGTAAGCAGTGACCTTAAATTTGAAATTCACTTTGAATTCCCACTTTAGTAAATAGAGATTGGAGGAAGAAACAGAGCTTCAAGACTAATATTGAGACCCCACGATATCCTCCATAGACCAACTCTCGCAATGTGCAAGAAAAAGCCTGATGGCTGTGTTAATCGACAAAAACTGAAGGTGGAAGATCTGCCTTTTGTCAACTTTAGTTTTCACCAGGAGACAAACTAATCCCTACTTTGTTTTATCATATCTATTGATTTAGTTGCATTTCAATAAACTTCCAATGTTATCAATGTGAGGTTTTTCAAAAATCTTAGGATAAAATAGCAGCCGAAAGATGAGTTCGATTTTTCCCAGTTTGGCATAAAATTTGAAATTCACTTTAAATTCACACCCAAGTGAATAACCTTAATGATATAGTAACAGAGAGATGCACCATGGAACTCTGACCTTCGGTGCGTGATAGTTCTATAAAGTACTTCCACTCAGCCTGGTATTTTTGGTTTAGCAGTTGATGTTTATCCTTGCACATGGATTAAGAGCTATTTTGGTTCCTGAATTTGACCACTATTGACCTCTTATCCTTTGGCAGGCGATCCATTTAAAAATAAAGTAATCTTCAAAATAGGACATCAATATCGTGAAGCTACAAAGGATGTTGCTTTCAAAAGCGTATTGTTACAGTTATATTTTTAGGTAAATTACAAGAAGAAATAACATTTGGGGATAAAGGAAAATAAGTGACTATTTTTATTTATTTATTATTACAAACAATATATGCATTAAAGGACCACTCTAGGCACCCAGACCACTTCAGCTTAGGGTCCAGCTAGGGTTAACCCATTTTTTTTTATAAACATAGCAGTTTCAGAGAAACTGCTATGTTTATAAATGGGTTAATCCAGCCTCTAAAGCCTCTAGTGGCTGTCTCATTGACATCCGCTAGAGGCGTTTGCGTGCCTCTCACTGTGAAAATCACAGTGAGAAGACGCAAGCGTCCACAGGAAAGCATTATGAATGCTTTCCTATGAGACTGGCTGAATGCGAGCGCAGCTCCTGCCGTGCATGCGCATTCAGCCGAAGAGGAGGAGAAGAGGCAGAGAGGAGGAGGAGAGCTCCCCTGCCCAGCGCTGGAGAAAGGTAAGATTTTAACCCCTTCCTCTCCCCAGAGCCCGGCGGGAGGGGGTCCCTGAGGGTGGGGGCACCCTCAGGGTACTATAGTGCCAGGAAAACAAGTATTTTTTCCTGGCACTATAGTGGTCCTTTAAGGTTACCTCACAGAATAAATATCTCAAATTATGCACATATATAAATTAAATATAACAGACTATAAATATCGCTGTTAACCATTACCCTTGACCATGTTCTTATTAATAAATTCAGCTGTGCAAAAAGGACAAACATTTAAAATGAATGAGTATTTTGACATGGAGACCCTCTATAAAGGGACACTGTAGGCACTTTATCTGCTTCATTTCATTAAGCTGATTATAGTATCCAGAGTTTCCAAGTTCCATAATTTAAGCATTAAACATTTTTTCATATTTTTATGTTTCAATGCTAAATTTAATTCCCAGCAGCTGCTTCGGCGAATGAGGAAGTACTAACATGAGCAGCAATGGGCCGCTATGATTGGCTGAGAGTGTCAGCTGTCTGTTTTTAGCCTATCAGAGCTCCAATTAACGGTATGAAGAGTATGAATTCAAGGAAGTGTGTAAACTCTGCCTTGGCCACACCTCCAGAAGAGGCCAGACTGTGGATGGCCTTGATTCCTTATTTAGTGTTAAACTGCTCTAAAATGGTTTAACATTGTATGGAGAGACAGTACCAGGAGATTCCAGGCATCATAACCAATTCAAAGAGATGAAATGATTATAGTGAGTTCAGTGTCCCTTTAAGTAGTAATCAGTTCAGGGCATCATATATTTAACCCCTTAAAGACACGACATGTGTGACATGTCATGATTCCCTTTTATTCCAGAAGTTTGGTCCTTAAAGGGTTAAACAATTTCTGACCTCGGTGGTCTTTGCTTATTACCTTAATCTTGTTTAGTTAACCATTTATCCCAAATTCTGTTTTACAGAAATAGTTAATGTCTTGTTAAATAGTACCTGTTTTTCCATTAAACATTGATGAGAGATCTGGTTTATAACCCTTAACCATTGTATTTCATCTTGATTTTTCCACTGCCTTGCTATTATAATTTTCATGGGGAGTAATATTTGTATTGTCCAGGCTTTATTAGAAAAGCTAAGGTTATCCAGACCTATATGGAATAGGGCAGTTTCAGGTGACATTGGAATTATCTCTGTCAATTCTAAAGTTAGTGCAAATATTTTCCGCCAAATACTCTCAATTTTTTCAAGTGAATCAAGTTACCAGATTCTGTATTACATTTCCAACATATTGGATTTGCTATAGCTTTAAATTTATATAATTTCTCTGGGTATACATGCCATCTATATACAATTTTAAAATGAAGTTCCTGTAATGATAGACAGTGAGTTATCTTTCCTATTTGAATCCAGCTATCCCACCATTGTTCTTATTTATTGGAGATGAGATTTCCTTACCCCATGACTCTAAAGCTGTACATTTTGTCGTAGGTAGGCTAAATTCTAGTAAGTCATACCATGCTCTTACTATTTTTTTATTCAGGTTATTACACATTAGCTTATCAAATTGATCTTTTATTGTTTTTTCTAAACTTGTGATCAAATTGGAGCGAAGATAATATTTCATTGTAATTAAGAAAAAAATTCTCCTTCACTGTACATCCATAATCCTGTTGGAGCGGTCTATAGGATTTGAATTTATTTTTAACATATAAATCTTGAATTCTTAGTTTTTTGGTTTTTTTTTAAAGAAAATAAGTGACTATTGATACAAAAAAAATGATGGTTTGGAGGATGATGGTGGTTTTGTGCTTGTTTAAATAGGATGAGCTAATTCTCCTACAGAACAACAGGACACGTTACTATAGAGAGTTTCTGGGAGTCATGGGAGGTCGGAAAGTCAGCCACGAGCTTCTGGGAGAACCGGTGCAAAAAATGTGTGAACATCTTCCGATCTACTGGGCTAAGAAGGGTGAGGGTAAGTAGAATTTGCTCCTGTTTCCTAGGCAAAAAGGAAAGCCGGTATGTGCAGATTAAAGGAACACTCAATGTACCATAACCACTTCAGCTTATTGAAGTGGTTATGCTGTTAGAGGACGGTCCCTGTAGTTTTCAATTTGTCAAACTGATAAAACGGGACTTAAAAACAGAGAGAGTAGATCCACTTACAAGTCAGAAATCTGGAATTTAACATTTCCTTGCTCGCATAAAAATGAGATGGTACATCAGCACTGTTGTGGAGAGACATATAGGTGAGGCTCCCAAGAAGTGAGCACTTGCAAGTCCAAAGAGTGACCTGTCTGTGACGACTGATGCTACAAGTCACTACACTTCAGAAGTTACATACCAACTCACTTCCGAGTTGGTATGTAAACTAGGAAGTGTATTTTCTGCTCTGTGATGGACAGAGCTTGTGGGTGGAGCTATGTGCTCTTCTTTTAGGATATGTTTTATCAGCTTACATATAAAAGAATAAAAATATGCCAGGGTGGTTCATTGGCACCATAACCACTTCAATAAGCTGTTGGATCATTTTCCAGACTGGATAATTATTATTACTTCTATGGTTATTCTGTAAGTGAAAAAAATAGAGTGTTATGAAGTTTTAGCTAGCTAGTACTTTATTTTTTGTTGCCTAGAAATTAAACTAGTATCCACACGATTTCCTAATTATATTGACAGTCACTCTATAAGACCTAAACAACCTAAATCCATGTTTCCAATCATGATGTACATCTTAGACAGCTCAGAAGGTTTTTACATGTTGGGGTGACCACATTGTTTTAATAAGGGAAGTTTAGGGCTCTAATTAATACATTGAAGACAGTGGTTGAAGAATTGAAGAAAGAAAAAACAAAAAAGGAAAAAGAAAAACAAACTAAACTAATATCACCCTGTGTCTAAACACAACCCTAAAATAGGTCTCCTTCCTTTGGCCAGCTGAAACAGATGGCATCCATGGAATAAAAGGGATTGTTTAGAAAGAGAGCAATTCTAGAGTTCTGAAAGTCTAGGAATCAGCAGTAAATTCTAATTGTTTTCCCATGGTGATTGACTCTGCCTGTCCCTGATAATCTCAAATACCATTTTAAAGGAGCATAAATTAAAAGGATACCATAAGTAATTTACTTAATTTACTCTAGCGATGATGTCCCTCTACGCTGAGTCATGGCTCCGCCTCAGTCCTGCGACGAGCGGGCGCTAATGTGCATGCGCTGCAAATGCCGCACACGCATTGGACCTCCCCCATAGGAAATCACTAAATCAATGCTTTCCTATGGGGAAAAAAATCTGGCGCTGGATGTCATCACGCTGAGCATGAGGACGTCCAGCGTCAGATTCCTGGACCAAAGGTCTGTTTGGATACAGGATGCGTCTCCAGTGGCTGTCTACCAGACTTAGTGCTGCAATGTAAACATTACAGTTCTCTGGAAGTGCAGTGTTTAACATTGCAGCACTAAGGGCAATAGGGACACAGCACCTAGACCACTTCAATGAGCTGAAGTGTTCTGGGTGCCTATAATGTCCCTTTAAGTTGTCATGGTGTGAGGAGGTCTCTGGGCAATGGCTTACCTCAAGGACTTAAACGGTTAACAAGTAGTTTAACCCCCAAATCTTAAATCTGGTGCCCATTGGCTCTGCCCAACAACATCCGCCGCAATCCTATGCTTGAACCAGGAAACCCCAGACAGGGGCACCATTGATAAGCTAAGAGCTACGATCTCGCTTCCCTTTTACAAAATGGTTTGGGAGACGTACGTGTTTCTCAAGCCGTTCTGTGAATGTGGAACCAATGATTGGCGTAGTGGGTCATCTAATGGTCTCAGTCTATCAGGAGCTCCCCTGTTTAAGGCTTGGATTGCGGTTGGTGGGCATCTGTTCATTAACGGTTTACCCTCTTGAGGTAACCGGAGACCACCTCACAAGACAACTTCATTTTAATTAAGTAGCTATAGGGCCCAGTGTCCTTTAAGCTATTATGTTATTGGGTATACAGTGTTAAAGGCATGCACAACAATGCAGATATTATCCTTGGGTTTATTGAGCTGCTAAACTCACTCTATTCTCTCCAAATATAGGTCCAGCACGGCAGCGTCTGATTTACCTCTGCATTGACATCTGCTTTCCAAACAACATCTGTGTGTCTGTCTGTTTTTACTACTTGCCTGACTGAAGCCTCCTTCACAGGGATCCTGGCGCCTCACTAACTCCGCTCTGCTTTGGGGCAGGCATTGCACACTACTGGAGAAAATAACTGGGTTTATAATAAGTGTCGAATTGAATATCTGACTGCCAATTAAGTTGCTCCTCAAACACTATCAGATTAGCAGCAGTCAATGTACGATCAGATTAATAGCATTGGTCAATAATTGTACTATAATAATAAAAACAGGGTATTGAAGGGTTTCCAGTATTATGGGGTTGGAGAGAATTATTGGTGGTGCTTGTATAGGCTATAAGAAATTGCCGCTTTCCCCACAAGTCTCCCATATAGTTTGGCATTTTTTAAAAGAGGAAGTGTAAATGGATATCAATGAATACAATAAATCATATTGATGATTTCTGTTGTCTTTCCTGTGGAGTATGTACAGGTGATTTTCAATAGAAAAAGCCTCAAACCTTTAATTAGTATTTTCTATTTGTAGGGAGTATGGTGGAGGCTGCATTATGATAAACCCAGAAGGAACCAGTAGATTAGGAATAGTATTTGGAAAAGGAAACATACAAAGATCTTTGCTGTAAAGCAAACCGCACAGTGTGGCAGGTGGGGAGAGGATGGTTATCTAAATGGAATGGAAAGCATAGATATACAAACAGATGAATCCAAGAACATTTTTTACATTTTTTTTTATTGACTAGCTTTAGACACTGGTTTCAAAAGCAGAGAGATCTAACAAAAACCTCTCGATACTCACACACATATATTACAGACTGAGCAGCAGTGTGCTGAAGTAGAGCAGACGAGAGGTAGCTCTGCAGCTTTTGGGTAACTACAACTCCCATAATGCTTTGCCAGTCAGAAGGCATGTCAGGGATAGCCAGAAGTTTGCTGCCAATATGCTTTGCCAGCAGAGCTGAGGTCTTGTGGAAGCAACAGGTGGCTCTCCAGCTGTTCCCGAGACAGATTTCCAATGCCCAGCAGGGGTTGGGTAATGTGTAACAGGAAACGCTCTCCAGCTGTAGAGGAACTCAGTCTCCCATGATGCTTTGCTAGCCGCAGGCAGGAGATCTAGCACTGGGCACGGATTACTCTTGCTGACTTGTTAAGTGATGTTATACAACTTGACAGCATAATGCACAATTTCGGTTTCCAGTGCTATGATGAGATATTGTTCTTCTTTACACGAGGACTAGTGTTGGACTGCCGCGGTACACCACTAGTTGAAGGCTTAAACCTTTTCTTCTAGCAGCGTTGCACAAATGTCACGGAACACCCAAGATATTTATCCCAACACACTGTCATTGAAGGCAAGGCACACCACTGCTTTCTGATGTCCGCTGTACTCCCGCTTGATCTCGCCGGTTTCAACGCACCACAGCCGCGCCAGATTATCAGAAGATGCTGGGGATAAAAACCAACAGGTTCATTTAGTGAGCCAGTTTCACGCTTACATTTTCAAAAATTAATCACATTTCACTTTCATGACACCACAGGTAAGAAAACTTGCAGCACTTGCTGTCTGAGGGTTATAGGGGTTGTAATCCGAGAACTAATGCAAGGCTATGGGTAAGCTATCTTCCATCTTATAGCTATTGCCAGTAAGAGGGCTGTGATAAAAACAAAAAATTTGCGAATATCTTTGTAATACAGAAAGGAACTCCTAGTTTGTGAGGTGGGAAAATGCTTACAAACTTTTTAGTTTACTCTAGACTTGCTCAAAAATTTGCTTTTTCCAAAACTAATCAATTTGCAGGAGTCGATGCATTTGGGTGTGGATTAAAAGGGTTTTTATTTGTACAATGTGTTTAAAAGTATGGCTTACCCCGGGCAATATAACCAATACAGCATACTGTAGTGGTTTAATGCCAGGAGCGCCCTGGCACCATTCCATGGTAATGGGGCAAACCAGTTTGCAGAGGTTTAACTCTTACCTTGGTCCCGCCGGCCGCACGATCATTCATTGGCTAAGAGAATCAGCTGAGCTCTCTCATCCAATGAATGAACTTCACTGAATAGAAATAAGCGTCGATGTTACCCATTCTGGGCTGGCTAGAGGAGTTACCTCTCCAGGAAGCTTATGAACTCTCTCAGTATGTTCAGTGTTTCATACAGAAAGCTGCACATACAGATCCTTGCACTAGGACCACTTAAAAATACTGATATGGCTATGGTGCATGGTGTAACCATTAAAGGCAAGATAGACACAGATGGAAATTGTTTCAAAATACAGCCGCAAAAAATATTGAAATATAGGATATGAACTGTGGAGGACTTTACCTGTAACAATGTACTGAGAGTCGCCAGAGAATGCGCAGTCCCACATCCAGCCGCGTGACGTCTCCCCAGGGTTATTGCTTTTGATGCTCAGTTCAGTCATTAGGGAAAAGTTTGACGTTCTCCAGATTTTACAAGTTTGGTCAGCAGAGCACGTGGCAAGCAGGCTAGAATAATGAAAACAGAGTCATGTTTGAAGAGAATTTGTACCTTACATGCTTGCTTTTATTTGTTATGAAAAAATTTTTTTATTTTTTTTAATGAAACGTTTTATTGAGGTTTAGACAATACAAGAAATAAGTGAGGACATTGAATTTACAGGTTTATTTTGTAAACACATTGTACATCCAGAGAATGCATAAAGGAAAGGTATGTTTTTTTTTATATGACAGAATATTTTATTAAAATTCCAAAGCGATCAGAAGAAATCACAAATATAATAAGCAACTGCATCACATGGGCAAGCTGATTTTTAGTAAAAGGTTCAAGCAGCTGTAACTGGCTATTTCAATATATTTAGTCTTTCTATTGCATGTCACTGGGCATGGGTTAGATCCTGCAGGGTCCTAAAAAGATCTTTGTATCAAAAACCAAATATGTAACAGAGTGTACACAAGAGAGCAGAATGGAAGAGCAGAGAACAGAGGGAGGAATGGGATAAAAGTAAGAGGGGAGTTTACATATTATTATATTCTTTATATAGCACTGTACAATAGGTGGACTAACAAACACTTAACTGTAACCATATCACCTGCAACGGTAACATTAAAAGCACAACTTACACGTAATCAGCCACAACATTCAAACCACTGACAGGTGTAGTGAATAACATTGATTATATCGTTACAATGTCAACGGTTGACTATTATTAGAACTGTCAGTTCTTGAAGTTCATGTGTTGGAATCAAGAAAAATGGGAAAACTAAAAGATCTGAGTGACTTTTGCTCTGGAATCCAAATTCCCCAGATCTCCATCAGATTGGGATTCTGTGGGATGTGTTGGAACAATAATTCCAATCCATAGAGGCCCCATCTCTTGGTGCCAGATACCACAGGACAAGGTGAACCTACACAGTATTAAAAGGACACTATAGCTCAGTGAAGTGGTCTGGGTGCCGTGTCCCTATTGCCCTTAGTGCTGCAATGTTAAACATTACAGTTCCAGAAAAACAGCAAAGTTTACATTGCAGCACTCCACTGGAGATGCTTCCTGCATCCAAACGGACCTTTGGTCCAGTATCTGGACACTGAACAGCCTAACGTCCCCATAGGAAAGCATTGATTTAACGCTCACCTTGGGGTAGATGAGGAGACAGAGCCGTGACCCAGCCCTGAGGGACATCAGCGCTGGAATAAGGTAAGTACATTTATTTACCGCAGGGGGGAGGGGGCGCGAGGGATTGGGGAGACAGAGGGAGATATAGTGCTATTCCTGGCACTTATAATACCTATTTAACCAGGTGGTTTTATACTGTTGTGGCTGTTCAGTGTATGTGTATCATAATTCAGCTCCTCTTTCTCCCACTGTGCTTGTTTTCTCTTTTTGAAACCTTCTAAACACAAGACACCCACAGATATTGTGAAAACTTGAATATTAAAAGGAATAAAGCATTAAAAAAAAACAAAAAAACAAACACACGTGCTTTTAGAATGCAGTAATTTTTTATGTTATATGTGCTTATACTCACGTGGAATCTGGACTAAATTTACATCTCAAAGCACAACGTTTGTGAGCTGGTATTTTGGTTTTCGGGATGAGCTGAGTTATATCCTCCCCGAGTCCGCCTGTCAGGTTCCAAACAAAGCAGGTGCCCTAGAATGAAAGATATTCACAAAAATAAAAAAAATTTTTAATAAAAATACAGCCACTCACACTCTTCCCTAACCAATATTTCTGATACTCACAGCGCTGTTTACGGCGGCCATATAACTGGCATCTGGATCTATGTGGACTGCGTTGACAGCGGCTTCGTTCTCTGGAATAATTTGCTCGTTATGGTCAGTTTTTAGGTCCCAGATGTGAATTGCCCCACTTTGGTCGCCAACGATAAGCTCAGCCTGTGGGGAAATTTAATGTCATTAAATTAGGTTTATTGAATCTGAAAGTCAACCTTTTCACCATCAAATCAATAAAGTGTCCCACCGCCGGGGGCTCCAAGAGGAGCGAAGACATACACGAAAGCCACACTACAGGGGAAACACGGCCTTTCATCGTACCCATCACCCCTATTCCCACTGACACACAACCCGGATTTCCCACCAGGACTAGATCCGAGAGCATCAAAATGACAGTACACGACCCACTGCCCAGACAGACAGGTGTACACAACTGAAGGCATTAAGACACTAAGCGACCTACGAGGCGATGCAGACAGTACCTTCCTGACAGCTAAAATATGAACAGATTCAGAGCTACATTGCAACACTCCCACAAGGGGCGATACTATCAAGAACCCCCACTACATTCGAAGAAGCCTGTCTAGACCCAGACCCAGTAGCCCATGGGGTCTCCTCGACAGGGCAGAATGGGAAAAAATTCTGCTCTCACACACACCACTGCTCTAGCTACAGAAAGACAAGAAACGGCGTACAAATTATTGACTCTCTGGTACCGCACCCCCACGACACTACATGCGATGTCACCAGACCACACACCACTATGCTGGAGATGTGAGGAGGAGAATGGCACACCCCTACAGATCTGGTGGGAAAGCAGAAAGATCCGCCCGTTCTGGAAGGGGATTCACACAATGTTGAAGCTCTTTTTGGACGACCCACCACCCCTCAAACCAGCAGAAATGCTACTTCACCACACCAAGACCCCGCAGTCCCTCTACAAGAAATCCCTGACAATACGCAGACTGAACATAGCCAAATCAGTGATACCGCAACACTGGAAGCACCCAACCACTCCATCACTGAGAACCTGGTTCTCCCAAATGGAGGAATTAAGATCCCTTGAGGAACTAAACAGCACAGCAGCTGGCACACAACAAACATACCTAAACACATGGACACACTGGTTACTGAAGACGACGAAACCAGACAACGACTTGACGACAGAGACTGACCACAGATCCCAATGCAACCCAAACACCGGACACCGACGCATATCTGACATCCCACCATCCACCCCAACTCATTTTCCCCCACACCCACAATACCCCCACCTATGGCTTACAACCTAACCAGGCGGCAGAGATCCAATAGGGGACCCCCCTACACCGGGAAGTAAGGGAGACCTTGATTGGAGGAACCCCACGTACCGCCTCGAAACCAACACCCACAATAAAACACTACGGGACGTGACTGGGGCACCACAAACCACTTATTCACCAGGAACAGGTGAACCCACCACGAACCACACCACATCGCAGGGGCTAGCCCGAATATGGCCCACTGGACACGCACAGATCCCGTAAGGGAACTAACTATCAGACCTAGGCCACGTCCAGACCACGACCAAACCAATAAGACATACTGAGAAACCGACACAGTGCCCCCACTACAATTAAAAGGTTCATGCATGCGGGACTTGCGTGTCCTATAAACACAGAGGGCCTGCGTGCCCACACCGTAATGTACACATTAATAACTGCCATTCTCCTATATCCTCGATATGTGGAGGACCTGCGAGTCCTGAAGCAAAACGTGACCCCATCCCTGTATCCGACAAACTGAACAAAAAAAATAAAAATAAATTATATTTACAAAAAAAAGAAATCAATAAAGTGAATGTGTGACATAAATGACATAACATTTCAAAACTGAAACACTACCTTTCATGTACATTAAATATTTAAGTTTTTTTTTTTAAAGATAATTAAATCTTTGAGTTTAGGTGACAAGTCTATTTTAGGGGGTGTCAACTTTTTTTTTTGTGGTTTTTTTATAAAAGGAAAACTTTAAACAACTACAGTTTGTTCTATTAGTTACAGTGCAATGAGTCTTTGGGTGCAGTTCAATTAGTTGGACTAAGCCACTCGCAGGACTTTCTTAGTTAATTCTTCTTTGTGAACTCAGAAAATAGGTTGACATGCTTTAGGTGCTGAGGAATTCTGTTTTATATTAAACCTCTAAATCTGACGAAATCCAAAGACTCTGCGCAATTACTGCTACAATGAAGTACCGTGGATGATGCTTGAATTGAACATTGTAACCTATTGGAAGAAGTGTCACTATACTAGAAATGCCAACAGTTAGTTGTTTAAATTTCACGCACCCAAGGGTTAAAATCAAACCGGCACAAGATGCACAGAGAACACGTTTTTGCCCTCTCAGGGGTAGGAAGAGAGCAAAGCACACATGCTATACTAGGGAACAATGGAGCTTTGTGTAGGGAGAGTCGCCCCAGTAACAAGGTACCATTGTGATCACAAGTTTATCTGTCACATTAGACCGAATCGCAGGATCATACCTGACATGAACAGAGGAAATGGGAGGCTCAGGAGGTCACAGGGGAACAGCAAGTGCAGAACCAAAGACAAATGTGCCGTTCTCCACAAGAATGAAAATAATGATTTGTATCCAAGTTGGAATCAACAAGATTGCTTGAAATGCAGAGTTTTTGCTCTTTTTTTTTTTTTTGCTGTAGCTTACTGGTGACACCAAGATGCTTTGTTTAAATGCCAATCTCTTGACAAACCGCAAAACACCAGGTGCTGAACTACAACTCCCATGATTCTCCGTCAGCAGTAATTTAAACCTGCAGGTTAACTGTCCTTTCCTAGTGCGACATTTAAATGTAATTGTTGAAAAGAGGGTTCCCCTACGATGGGCATGAGCTGCACTTTATAGAAAAGCAAGTTCCATGTATAGTTGAAGCTATAACTATATATAGAATTTGTTTTACAAACATGCTAGCCACAAGCTGCAATGCACACAGCCATACCACTTGTTGAGGCATCCCACAGCCCCTTCTCACCCTGCTAGGGGCCACACTTGTTATCTGGAGGCCACATGGTTGAGGAGGAATATGTGATCATGTAAATATATATTTTAGTTTATTCTTTTGCTGGTGAGACTTGCAGAATAGACTGAATCTATACCTACCGCAGATTGAACTTGTCATACACATGCTTTGTAAATGACAGATCACTTTAAAAGGGGCCTGCTATTGAAATAAAATTAAAGGGAAACTATAGGCTAGGAATACAAACCCACGGCGCTGGATCAGGCTCTTACTTGGCTCTTCCAGGGAGCACCACAAGCACATTAGGACAGCCCCATAGGAAAGGATAGTATACTTTTCCATTGAGATTTGGGTGATGCTGGCTGTCCTCATGCATAGCGTGAGGACGTCTAGCATCAGTTAGGCAGCCAGAGTGTCACCTACCCAGAAGTCCCTCTAGTGCCTTTCTGGAAGATGGCCACTAGTGGTGGAATTAACCCTTTCTCAATAACTGCAATAATTGCTATTGCAGGCTAAGGGGAATCCGACTACTTCAATCAGCTGAAGTGGTCTGGGTGCCTATAGTACCCCTTCAAAGGAAGATTCCTACCCTGTAACAACTGCAGCTCATTAAAGTTATTAGGGGGGCAGGAGTGTCACACCACTTTGCAACAGTTAAAATCCGAAGTTGGAATTCCTGCTTCCTTCCTCTCTGCCTCCACAGTATGAGGAAGGTTTAGCTGGGTGGTCCGTGTTGGCCATGCACTGAGAAAATAGTCTTTTGTGGATGCCATATAACAAATATATGGAAAGATTATGGGGAAAAAAAAAATAAAAAAAAAATTAAAAACAGTAAAACTTTTTTTTTTTTTTGACTCAACACATTAAAAAACATCAACACTCCACTACCAAATTTTTTAACTTTTTTTTTTAAATCACTGTTTAGTAGATATACCCAAAATGAAAATAAGCATGCTTTTAATTATGTATTTTTTTTTTATAATTCTTTATTTTTGTAGTGCATACAGTTGGAACAATAATGCTTGTGGTACCCCACCGGCAGTCCACTCGCTAATTTCAACAACAATAGATACAGTGGGGAGTGATTGGACAGTGCACATTTTGAATATGGTATAGACTGACAAAGTACATTTCACAAGCTTAGGTAGTTCGAGACTAGGCTAGTAATGACGCGTGAAGAGCAGAGTTTCAACGTTAATGAACAGGTTAATTAGGCATGTTTAGCTAGTGGGCGCAGTGAGTGTGAGATATGAGCTGTCCATGCTTAGTATGTATCATAAGTGATGTTCAGGTGTAAGTCTGTTTATATGCAGGTATATATGTGTACACCTGGGCTTGCTTTCCTAACATGTTACACAGGTGACTAAGTGAACACAATGAGTTAAGTGCTTGTCATACAATAGCATGGGTAGACAGAACAGTGCTAGGGGATAAGTCTGGCCAACAGAGCTAATTAGTCAAGGTGGTTGCTAGCTAGGAGTGGTTATCGGGACACAGAGCTATTAACACCTCTGTGTTCTGTAATCGTGGAAAGAGGGTAGCACTGACATTGAGAATAACAAGAGTCTTTACATTGCTGGAGATGATCTTGCTGTGTGTTAGCAGGAGCCGCTTTATCCAGTTGTCACCCAGTACCACCGATGGGCTGCAGCAGGGCGTTCAGCATTAGTGGGACCCCGAGATTTTCCGGTCCATGGACCTGTGAACCTCCCCACTGCACTCTGTCATGTCTCCTTGTGTGGTGAGTGCTGTCTAGGCGAGTTCTGCTGCCGGCACTTCCATGAGAGTGTGACTTGATCCTGCTTGCAGTGTCCATGAGCTTTACTGCCCTGTAGTAGACTGGTAGGATAATAGTGGGTGCTTTTCTCTTTGACTGCGTTGTTTTCCTCATTTTTGAGCAGGCGTCATCTTGATCTCTCTGGCAGCTCGCGCACATGGCCGGCGCTCGGCGGCCATCTTGTGTACTGTCGCCCGGGTGATGTTCCCTGCTAGGGTGGTTGATTGGGCCAAGGTTGGTGTGCTGGTTGGTACCTCTGCAGACCGGGATGACCCCCCCGGTCCAGGGGGGGGGGCGGACGCGAACCGCCGGCCAGGAGACCCAGGAAAGCGGCCGTCCCTTCCTGGCTCAAGCCCCAACGAACTCCGAGCCCGGCCGGGTTACTGTCGGTGCCGGACCGGGACCCATGCGGCATCCCCGCTTTCCCCAGTGACTGGGGGTCCTTGTGGACATCTGTGGGACCCTCCGGTCGCGGTTATCCTCCAATTTGCTCCGGTTTTTGGGCCTTGGAGCGGGAGCTCAGACAGAACGCGTCTGATCCCGTCGGCGGCCAGACCCCGCCCCCCCTTAATTATGTATTTTTTAATGGAGTTATCGCTCATAACATCTTGCAAAGGCTGCAGTTCTCATGTCAGCTGCCTTTGCAATCCCTCCCCTTCTAACCCCGCCCAGACTTTCTGTGGCTGTCCAATTACAGACTTCTCAATGCAGCTCAATGAGAAGTCTTTGCAAGTCAGGTGCTCTGAGCAATTTCTGCCTCTTGAGTTTAGCTCTACTGAGCTAGCCAAACCAGGAAGTAACAGGAACAGTTCTCTGCTTGAACACCAAAGGAGTATAACAAGGTTAATTTAAAAAAAGTGCAAATTTCTATTGATATCTACACTTTTTGTAAAATAATAATAATAAAAAAAAAGAAAAAGAAAAAAAAAAAAAGGACAAATTCTGCACACACATACAGCACTTCAGTAAGTTAAAGTGCTTTAGGGGTCCAGAGAGTTCCTTTAAGTAGCCAGTTTGTACTGAACTACTACGTGTGACACATCTTGAGGTGCAGACAATTTTACAAATAATAACTGGAGGACCTGTGGGACAACCCATCTTGTCCATAAAATACCTGGTTGGGATGTAAGAAGACACAGTTGATTGGAGCGTTCACCTGGAATATTCGCTGGCACTGGAGATTACGAGACCTGCAAACAGAGAAACAGTGAGTTTTCAAAACAGTGAGTTTTCTCCCCTTCTTGGGGAGAACAAAAGAAATCTTGCTTTTAATTAATAACTTCATTAAGATCTCTTAAACTTGAATTACTGGTTGTTATTGAAGACTAGTATCAGAAAGAGGTTTTCTGGAAAACTGCACTGAGCTCACAATGCACATATGCAAAACTACATACTTTCTTATAAACAGATTTGAGAGTTTACGGGGCCTGGTCACCTCAAAAGCAGAGAGATATAATATTTAATGCAGACTGATTCCAAAAATGTCAACTCAAATCACGTAGAACAACTTTTCAGGGAATACCGAGCATTCACCTAAACTTTTCACATCCAAACTGCGTTTTTTTCCTAAAGGGGATGAGACCGATACAATCAACAAACCTATTACTATTTAGAGAATAAAAAAGGCTTTGTCAGGGACAGAGAGAATTTTTACTTGAAGAACACCGAGTTGAAAAGATGGGGTGGTATTCTTCCTGGTTATCAATTGAAGATAACACTAATTAGATCAGTCCTGAACCGCAAATTGTGCTTTTTCCCCATTTTTCTTGTGGGTTCTTGTTTTGTGTTTGGTTTTTGGTGTGTACACTGTGTCCTTCCTCATTATGTGTGTGCTATTTTCACAGATAATATTCTCTATACATGTTTAGACGCACTGAAAAATAGTTTTGCATATACTATTTTATATTCTGTTTAATAAAGGTGTAATTTCTATATACAAGTGGACGGTGTGCATTTAGTTCTATGCATTTGTATCCTGAGAGAATTCAGGACAAAGTCTACAAGACATTTAAATCAATTTAGGAATGAATGGACCATTTTGAGTTATCTACAGCAGGTCCTGAATTTATATATGACATGCAGTCAATTAAGAGGAAGTCAGGTACATGTGAAATATTCTAAGGATGGTGTGCTCAGAGTAAGAGGAAGCTAGTCTTTATGGCTGCGTGTGGTGGCTGGCCTTGACCAGCACACTCAAAGTGGTATGTAAAGAAGATTGGAATGATAAAAGAAAAAAGTCATCCAATCTACCCAAACATGAACACGACTAGATGCTCTGCAACAGAGAATTTATAAAAACAGACATTGCCTGCTATGATAGAGTCCCATAGTATGTTCCAAAAAGCTTGTGATCGGTTTGCTGCTTATTCTTGACATGATCCCAGTTGGCATTGAACACATGCAATCTGTTAGGGTTCTCCTTACACAGTCCCAGTTTATCTAAAGAGCTTGCAATCTAATTTTTTTTTTTCTTGACACATCCCCAGAATCTGCTCTAGACAGCGTTCGATAAGTTGAGCTTTAAACCAGTCTGACAGTCTATTAAGTTACAATATTTAAGGTGCCGGCAATTCTATTAATATTTTATGGTGTGTTACCTCAGATCCCAGATTCTAGCCATGCAGTCTTCTCCTCCGGTGTACATCCAACGTCCATCTTCATGAAACCCCACGGAGGTGATGTTTTTACTCACTCCATCGTAATTAATCACAGGGTTTGGGTTGTTGGAGTTCAGATCATACATGCGGATATGCTGATATCCTGCGGGCAAACAGAAGGGAGTGAAATGTGTTTTCTGGCAGTACTGCCTATCTGTGCACTCGTTCTAACACTCATTATGAAAACGCAAACAATGATTACACTTGTAAAGACATGATACATAAGTCATGCAGACATGGTCAAAAGCCTTTGTTGTTACAAAACAAGTGCAAGCTAAAAATAAAAATAAATAAAAAGCATCACATGCTTACCTGCTGCTGCAATCAGGCACCGATCAGGGGTAACTTCAAGGGCATTCACTTGCTAAAGGTTTTAGTTAAGGCTAAAAGTGGATGTGAAGATAGTAATTACATTTACTTCTTTGCAGTAGCACCTATGGCCACTAGAGGGACCCAGTCAACACTTGTATCAATGGCCCTTTCCTTTATGAGAACACTTCTAAGTTTTCTATGCAATGTCTTTAAATGGAAAAGGCAATTTATACATTGCACCCATAGATCAGCACAGGTAGCAATACATTTCTTAGTATCCATCCAGCTTTGCTCACACAAATATTCTGTGAAAATATGAGCATTTTTTATGGTAAGTTGGGTTATATGAAATGGGATGTGAGAAAGCACCCAGAGCGGTGCGAAACGCGTCCAGGGGTTCTCTAATCTTTCTTTAGGGTCGGCTTCTTTAGTGGTCTCTCCCATGTACAGCTGCTGCCGGTGGTCCCATGCTCAGGTTTTGGACTTTTAATTTTTGTTGCACAGGTGGTTACAAGATATCAGCATACGCCACATCAGCGTGCTTCAAGATTGACAATAGTTAGTGGCATGAGAAGTCGCAGAGTTTTATATATAGTTATATCAGGCTTGGCTAAACAGTGGTAACGTCAGAATAAAGTAAGGTAGTTAACGTTTAACAGTGCTAGGTTAGCTATGCTAGTGTAGTTATAATGTGGTAGAGTGATACTAGCTGGCTTGTGTGTGGTGCATAGACAGGTTGCACTGCTCCTGTATGGGCTATGATGCAGTGGAGTACCAATAACAAAGCTATATCCAGCCCATACTGGAGGGTAACATCGCTGTATATTCTAAACATAAGTGTGAACTGTTTGACGATGATTAAGTGAACATTAAACCAACAGGGATCTGTTTTTCTTCTTAGTTAGCGTTGTTTTGATAAGTCCGCAATGACCTGGGGGTATAATCAACGTGGGGCCTGTATTAGACTCAAGTCTGAGTGTTCTGCTGATGCCAAGTCTTGGAACCGTCCATGCCATAAGAACACCTGTGTGGCGGCATGGTAGGCGCCTCAGCCCACACCCAGCATTGGCAAGTCCCGTGTGTTGTTTCCATTAGTTCCTTCATTGCGGCCACAGGGCCTGGTGTTCACCCCCCCCTCGTGGATCAGCTCCGGTAATTCCCTCCGTGGTGTGCAGCCGTGTTGCCAAATTGTGTCGTTTGCCAAATTGTGTTGCGTTGAGTGGGAAGGTGTGCCTCATGCTGTGCTGGTCGCCGGGGTATTGGTCAGATGAGAGATTTGTGTGCGTCGCTCGTTTTATAGTCCCGGCACTGCTTGTATGCTGGTGGGAGCTTTTGCCCAAGAGGTTTAGCGCAGTGTCCCGGCCGGCTGGGCAGCCATTTTGGCTGATCTTTGTGGGTCTGTTGCCCGCCACTCTCTGTAGCTGGCCTACTTGCTGTCCATTCAGGTCTGTATGTCCTGTGGGGACCGGGATGTCCCCCACAATAAATGTGCATTCTTTTTCTACGATTTTATCCTGATGTATTGTTGGGGATTCCCTATAAGTGCGGATGTGTTCTGTGTGAAATATAATTTGATTATGAGAGGATTCCAGCACCAAGAAGGTAACCCGGTTATTGCACCTATTGAACTGCTATAAGTATGATGAAAACCAGTATATCCATGCTTATTTAATTTTGGAGTTTTTCGTGAGTGAGGGATTTTATTCACTTACTTTTCTGCCTTTTTACTATATGAAATGGGCTGTCTGTCTTGGCACAGCCAGGGCATTCCATGTAAATTAATCAAACCCCCACAGTGAATGACATGCACTTAAACAGCATTTCTCTGCAGAAGTCCACCCTACATAAGAGGCTAAATATGTGAGGATTTCAGAAAAGGTACAGTTCTGCTTAGATCAAACACCCAAAGGGACATTTTATCGGCAGTACAGCATCTCAGGAAATGCAGATCAGATAAAACCATGGTGTCACAGTTAGCTGTCACAGGGCTCCAACGTAAAAACACATATTGGACAACATATATATTGAGGTACATGCTCAATTCTAATTACATTAAAATGGGATTTGAAGGAGGTACCCTAACCACGAGGTGACACCTTGAGGTGCTGTCTCCTCTGCAGGTAGGTACTTGCAGTCTGTTCATGGCAGCTAAGCTTGGTTAGCCGGGGATGGATAATGTAGAAGTGCAGCAGTCATTCTATAGTGCATAGAGTGTTGCTTTAAGCTTAGGCCTGAAAAAATAACAATTCTGTTAACTTCTGTTAACTATTGAAAGAAAAGAGCTCAAAAACAAGTATTTACTTTAAAAACAGTATATTCAATTTAAAAAAATAAAGGGGTTTTTAAGGGACACTATAAGTATTAAAACCCAGTTAGCTTAAAGGGACACTATATAGCAAGGTAGATCGCAGGAACCGCACTCACTCCCAACGTCCACAGGTGCTCCGGAGCAGGACCAGCAATCCCAACACGACAAGGTAAACAAGAAAAACTCACAGTCACTCCAAATGTGAAGCCGCAGGCAGATTTATTGCAACAAAATGCACAGCAACGTTTCGACCTAACAGGAGGGCTTTGTCAAGCTTGTTTCTTGTTTACCTTAAAGGGACACTATAGTCACCAAAACAACTTTAGCTTAACCTCTTAAGGACACATGATGGAAATATTCTGTCATGATTCCATGTTATTCCAGATGTTGTGTCCTTAAGGGGTTAATGAAGCAGTTTGTGGTGTATAGATCATGCCCCTGCAGTCCCACTGCTCAATTCTCTGCCATTTAGGAGTTAAATCACTTTGTTTATGAACCCTAGTCACACATCCACAGCCTTCATAAACACTTCCTGTAAAGAGTCATCTAAGGTCTATCCTTCCTTTATTGCAAGTTCTGTTTATTTTAGATGTTCTTATCCCCTGCTATGTTAATAGCTTGCTAGACCCTGTGATTAAAGTTACATTTACAAAGCAAGGGATAAAATTGTTTAAGGTAAATTACATCTGATTGAAAGTGAAACCAGTTTTTTTTTCATGCAGACTCTGTCAATCAGAGCCAGGGAGGTGTGACAAGGGCTGCATTAACAGAAACAAAGTCATTTAACTCCTAAATGACAGTGAATTGAGCAGTGAAACCTGAGAGGCGTGATCTATACACTAACACTGCATTAAGCTAAAGTTGTTTAGATGACTATAGTGTTCCTTTAATGAAAGAGGTTTGGTGCATAGATTTTGCCCCTGCAATCTCACTGCTCGATTCTATTCTGCCTGTATATTTATGTAGCTTTCATATATAATTAGAGTATATTTACCAAACTATTTAAGTTGGTGTCAACAAGAAGCATTTAATTGGACACTGCCCAGCACAAATAAGGGAGCTTGTGCTGCAGCTAAGAAAATGAAAGATTTTAGGCAGTTAGTCTGAAAAATTAACAAATGCATATTTTCTTCCAATTGCATTACAAAATATGTATTTTGTAGCCATAAAATGACCTTTAATGAAACTACCGGTATATCCTTTTATAGAAAAACCTTTTTGAACACTAGTCCTGAATGAGTTTCATTTTCAGCACATTATCAGCTTTTTTATGATTAACAAAACTGCAGGGCTCCGACTCTCAGCAATTATGCTTGCCGTGTTATGAAAACTGATTGTGTCTACTATGCCCCCCAAACAGAGAGTATACACTTGATATGGAGTGCCAGGAAAGGATACAGAGTCTTGGTGCTGCACTGTGCGAGTACAGATACCACTATGGGCTTGCCAGAAGCGTACGGTGTGGTCGTAACCGGCTGTAGCGAGAATGACAGGATCACTGCCAACTGTGCTTTGCGAGGAGCTCATCATGGTGCCTTTACGGAGGAAAGAAAGGGACATTAGATACAGTGAAATTGTAGCAATATGGAACGGAGCGTGGGACTAAACCTGATGTCAAGCAAATGGTTGATAATTGGCAGAGTAACAAGCCTAACCCAAAAATAATCAATACAGATACACAGAGCAGAGTAAAGCCCTAAACTGTGCAAAACTACAAAAGAAATGCCAAGTTTAAAAATATCACTTTATTAATAATGTTTCAATTATTCAATCGAAAAATTAAAATATAGTGATCTTTGGAATGTGAGAAAAACACCAACTATTTACATGCAAACCGGGGAATGTTTCCCTAAAGCAGTGAGAGAATGCAGAGTGTGGCACAGGAAGGGGGTGGGGGGGGGGGGCAATGGCTTGCTGAACTGCCATTGGAGTGAAGAGTGTTCTTTTTTTATATTACAGAAAGTGCAGATCTCACTTTTATAAATTAACCTTGTTACACAACCTCTTTGCTCATATGATAACCAGTTCTGTTACTTTTTGATTGTTCAGGTCAGTGGAGCTAAACTCAAGAGGCAGCAATTGCCCAGAGCTCCTGCCTTGCAAAGACTTGTCATTGAGCTGCATTGGGAAGTCTGTGGTTGGACAGTCACAGAACGTCTGGGCGGGGTTAGAAGGGGAGGGCTTGCAAAGGCAGCAGATCCGAGAACCAAAGCTTTTGCATGCTCGTTTAGATATGCCCAAATGAAAAAATTGCAGAATTAAAAGCTGCATGTTTTCACTGGAGGTGTATGTACTAAACAGTGTTTATGCAGTGTAGAGTCCCTTTAATTGGGCACTAAATACCATAACAGCTCACTGTATGTGTAATGTATAAAGGCTGAATAACGATGAGTCTTTAAAGAGATATGGTAGTGAATCTTTTACCGAATGCAGTGGCACCAGTGTCTCGGAGCCAGAATGTGCCGTTTTAGTCAAACCACTCCAAAAGAAATGGGACCTAAACACACAGCACAATAAGCCCTATAACTCATTGTAATGGTATATATTATTGGTATATATTATTGGTATAATGGTTTTGGTTTCTAGACCACAGACGTCCATGGTCCAGTCTGGAAGCATTAAGAAAAGTACAGAATTTATTGCCAGATACGTTCTCATTAAAGATACAACTCTGTTCAGTCTTGATGTGAATGCCCAGGTGGATAAGAGTTGCAGTGATTGCTCGTGGTCCTGGAAACGATGTTGTGTTGAATGGGAATAATTGTAGTAAGTATTAAACATGACCTAGAGATGTGGGTAGTGGTGGTGATCACTCAGGCACCAGGGCTGGATGGAGGAGTGCTGGTGACGGCTAAAGTTCTGGAGATAAAGGTAGTGGGGATCACTGGGGATAAGGGTAGAGGGGATAAGGGTAGAGGGGGGAAGGTGGGGGGGAATTATGAGGTGAGGTGAGGTCTTGGGGATTAAGGCAGTGGATCTTAATTACAAGGTGGAGTCCTGGGGAGGAGAGTGGAGGATCCGGACTATAAGCTGGGGTCCTGGGGAGGAGAGTGGTGGATCCTGGCATAGGGGTAGTAGAGATTTCTGGGGTCCTGACTATGAGGTGGGGGTTGAGAATGGTGAATTGTGGGTTATTGGGTGCAGA